GATGAGGCGGTGAGGCGATGAGTCACGCTGGGGAGGAGCGGGAGGCGGGGTGTCTGTGAGGGACGATGGGGAAGGAGCACCCGGCGGTGAGGCGATGGAGATGGATGGGCACCAGCGCGATGCCTTGGGGGACGATGGGGACAAGTGGGATGCTGTGAGGGACCATGGGGAAGAGCGCGATTCTTTGAGGGACGATGGGGACGAGTGTGATGGATGAGACTGGGAGGGGATGAGGCGATGACTCAAGATGGGGAGGAGCGGGAGGCGGGGAGTCTGTGAGGGACAAGGGGGAGGAGCGCTGTTGGTGAGGAGTCAAGTGAGGATGGCAGGGAGGGTGAGGCGGTGCCAGGAGGAGCCGGCGGAGGCAGGAAGGATTCCCCCAGGGCCTCCGAAAGGGAGAGAATGAATTCCTGTGGCTGTAAGCTCTCTATTTGTGGTCATTTGTTCTGGCAGCTCCAAGAAGTGAGTAAAGCAGCCATCCTGGCTTGTCCCTGCTGGAAGGGTTTCTGGGACATGGGAGTTTCAGTGCTAAAATCAGGAAAACGCGGAGAGCCCAGATGAGTTGGGCTCTCCAGGCGCCCCTGCCTCAGGCTTGAACTTAGCATCTGGTGCGATAAGGAAGCAGGGACCGCCAGGGTCTGTCTGTGGGCTAGGAGCCTGTGCCCAGGTGGTGACCACAGTGCTCCTGACCGGGCTCTTAGGGGCAGCAGGCTGCAGGCCCTTGTGTGCAGGGGTGGCAGGGTGGTCGTGCAGGGCGTGCCATCCACACCTCACCTGTTCTGCGGTGTGAAGCTGACCTTCATCCTCACTGAGATTCTCCAGCCTGAAGCCCCAGCAATTCTGCCAACTGGCCGGTAGCACCTGAAGGAACGTCCTTCTGCTTAAATCGGTTGTGGGAGGAAGCTGTGTCTGCAGCAACCCTCTGGAACGAGGGGCCTGCCCCGCAGTGGAGAGACCGGGCCCTCAGGACACAGCTGCACCAGGGCGCATGGTACTGCCTTAGCACCGGGCACCTGCCACAGGGCGTGTCTTGAACCACATCAGGCCTGGGCAGCCAGGGAGGTCTTTTCCAGGAAAAGAATTCAGCCTCAGGAAGCTCCCACCCTGTCTGAAGGCCCAGATGGAGAGGAAGAGGCTGCTCAAATGATGAAATCACATCAGATCTGGAAGCTGGCTCAAAATAACCCAGGAAGGAGATCGGTAAGGAGACGGGGTGTAAGAGAATCGAGCTGCCTCCCTGATCTGGCACCTTCCTCAGACTGCCCTTGTCCCCTGTCCTGAGAAAGGAGACGGCTGGACACCTTGGGTACGGGTCCCACACCTGCAGGCCAGAGATGTCATTCTCCTTGGTGCCACCAGCAGGAGCCCAGCCTGCTGGGGCCATAAGCTCCCTTCCCCTCTCCTCCCCACGGATCCACCTGAGAAAGGGAGGCTCTGGTTCCCTGCCAGCTCCTCCCTCCGGGGAAAGAGCCCAGAGCCACCCAGAGGCTTGCTTGGCCCCAAAGGTGAAAAGGGGGTCTGGCCAGAGGGGGCCCACGGCCTGCCCATGGAGGACACTTTCATCAACAGATGTATTTATTTTTTTTTTGAGAGAAGCCATTCTGAGTGTTTTATTAATGATGCGTCTGTGGGGAGGGCTTTACTAGATATGAAGCAGCGAATGCTAATGCTAGGAACACAATGATAGAAGCATTTTCCTCCTAAAAAGTTCTTCCTTTCAGGGGGCAAAGTTTTTGTAATACAAACACCTTTTGGTTCAGTTAAATTCGAGTAATGAGGAACTTTGATATTTCTGAGTTAATAATGCCTTGATTAATCCGTATCTGCATATGACTCAGATGTACTGATTTCTGCCATTTCTCGCTCGGCATGCTAACTCTGAGCAGGGGGTCTTGTTCACACTCAGTCGTTTTTCTCAGGAACTCCAGGGGGCAGTGACTTCACTGGAAATCGATATCAAAGCACCGAGTGGAAAGTGTTCCATCGCAGAAGCTCTTTTTAAACGTTTTCTTTTTTCTTCCAGTTTTATTGGCATATAATTGACGTACAGCATTGTATTACTTTCAGATGTACAACATGAACATTTGATTATGTACATATTGTGAAATGGTCACCACGATAAGTAACATCCATCACCTCACATAGTGACCATTGTTTTTGTGATAAGAACTTTTGAGATGTACTCTCTTAACATCTTTGAAATATACAAAAGGGCGATATTAAATATACAAAATTTATATATAAATATACAAAATGGACTATATTAAGCACACTGTCCATTAGAGTCCCAGAACTTATTTATCTTATAAATAAAGATGCCTTGTACTTTTTGATCCCTTTACTTATTTCCCCCCTCCCCCACCCCTACCTCTGGCAGGCACCATTCGATTCTGTTTCTATGAGTTCATTTCTTTAAGATTCGACATATAAGTGATATCATACAGTACTTTTTCTCTGTCTGAATTATTTCACCTAGCATAATGCACCCAAGTCTATCCATGTTGTTGCAAATGGCAGGACTTCCTTTTATATGGCTGAATAGTATTCCACTGTCTGTCTGTCTCTCTCTCACATTTTCTTTATCCTCTTATCTGTTGAAGGTCCCTGAGGTCGTGTTCATGTCTTGGCTATTGTGAATAACGCTGCAATGAGCATGGGAGAGCAGATGTCTCTCAGAGGTAGTGATTTGGTTTCCTTTGGATTGATAAACAAATGGCTAACAATAGGATCGTCGGAGTCTGTGAGGAACCCATTTGGTCTAAACCTACTTCAGCCTGACATTGTTTTTTTCCCCAAAAGGTCCTAATATGGCCATTGAGCATGCACTGTATGCCTGCTTGAAGCATTTGCTGTGTCCCAAAGACAAGAACAAATGGCCTTAAGATAAAGGTGCAACTTCCCCCACATTGGCATTTCCTTAAGGATGAGCATCTCTCCCTAGGCTAGAAATTGTTTGCTGTGCCCAGCCCGTGACCACCCACATGGAGACAAAAGTCGGGCTACCTGCTGTGTCCATCGAGACAGCTGACCCACCACCTGCTGTGTGAATAGCTGTGCTCACAGGGCAATCCCGAGACTCTTGTGAAAGGGAACTTTCAATCATATGTGATAGATGCTCTTTGACGGTACAGAACCACTCTGTACACTCCCTCTTCTTGGGGGCCCTTCCTTCTTTGGAGAAGGAAGGCCACAGGCTAAGCTAGTCTTCACAATAAACTCAGCCCAATGTTCAATTATAGGTTGGTTATGGATTATTTTCATCGACATTTCTTGGCATAGTCAGAAGGATTTCAGAGAAACCCACCAGAGAGCGCCTGGAACCTACACTGAACTGGCATTCGGTACGAGCATGGGCCCATTGAGCCCCCCACATCACTGCATTCTTCAGGTGACCCTGGTGCGTTCTCCTGAAACCCAGGCCTCCTTATTTTAAGTCGACGGTGCAGAGTTTATATGAGCTGTTTCTAACCTTAAGACTAAGAGTCACAAGGGGGCCCCAGCACACACCCTCGGTAAGAGGAACCTCGGGGGAATGCCCAGGCCAGGGGAGCCAAGGGAGAACTTTGGAGTGAATGGGGCAGGCTGACCTGTTTAATTTGGCTTTAAATGGAAAAGAATTGTGTTTATAAAGTGTGAACAAACTGCTTGATAGAGAAATGAGAGAGTGAACGTGTTCAGCTCTGAAGAGAAGGGCCACTGCTCCTCCCGGCCAAATGGCGTTCTCGGGTGACTGAGGACCTCACGGAGTGGGCTGGAGGATAGAATGCCTCATGAGGTGCAGCGGCCCCTAGGGAACTCCACCATCATTCTCATTAACTAATCATGGTTCGTCCGGGAAGCACACGCAAGGGTTGGTCACCCGCACTCTGGCCCCCACAGAGGTTCTAGACTGCCCGAGGGAGAAACCGAGGCATGTAAGAGACTGTTTACGACCTTTCTTTAGGGAGTAACACTCACAAGCAGTAGATTTAGGACCCATTACACTGTTGCTAGAAGTTGTTCGGACTTTATAGCAAAAATTAAAAATTTTCATTAAATTTAAACTTTAATTAAAAGAAAAGCAGGAAATCAAGCTTCTAAAAAAGCCTCACCAGATCCCAAAGGGGCAGCCTCTCCTCTGAACTCTGTTTGGCTTCATGCTATGACATGCAAGTACTTGACAAAAGGGAGAATGTTCCCATCCCAGATTCCTAAGACTGAAAGGAAAAAAGAAAGAAATGGGAAAAGAAGTGTGTGCAGAAGCCATCTGCTATGAAAATACCCTAGCCCAGAAATCTAAGGAAAACCTTTGTTGTGCCTGTCTGTCTGTCTGTGTCTATATATGTGTGTTACAAACGTGTGGCATTTTACCTCCGGATGGTACGATTTCTAAAGAGCTCTATTCCATTGACTTAAAGTAAGCGCTCACAAAATTTTGTTTTTCTAAATGCAACTAAGCCAAATGTCTTTCAAGCTGACGTGATAGGCAATAATGTTTGTAAACGAAAGCTTGTTTAAGTTTCTTTGTTTGATTAACACAGGCCTGTCCCCTGAGCCGTCAGCATCGGATATGATGCGCACACGAGGCCTTCATTCTACGTTGATCCGTCACATAAGCTGATGTTATCTCCGTTACAAAACTGGTTAACAAGCATAATAACTAAAACGATGGCTAATTCTGTCTAATGTCTCGTGAAGTCTTGTAGGCAATCTAAATGATTATTGGGAACAAGTAACTAGTAGTTGTGAAAAAGATGAGCGTTGGGGGAACTTTTAACAATAATTATGTGTTATGGTGCATGTACCTAAAACAGCTTCCAAAATCTGCTTGCTAACTTGAAACTTTGAAGTTGCTAGGTTAATTTAAGGGATAAAGATTCGTTAAATATCCAGATAATCTCTAAATAAGATAAAATATTAGGCATTAATTATTAACTGTATGTTTCTCTACTGTTGGCTTCTCATTACAAAACCACCCTAAAAGTTACGTGTATTAGTAAACATGTCTTCTATTTTATTAAAAGATTTTACTATGAAGTAACATGTTTTTAGAAATTATAAACAGTATTTACAAATTTCCCAAGACACAAAATACTCATGTAAAAAAAATAGGTTTATAATTGCTTACTTTTTTTTAATTTTAAAGATTGGCACCTGAGCTCACATCTGTTGCCAGTCTTCTTCTTTTCTGTTTCTTCCTCTCCCCAAAGCCCCCAGTACATTGTTGTACATTCTAGTTTTAGGTCCTTCTGGTTGCGCTATGTGGGACCTCCCCTCAGCATGGCTAGAGAAACGGTGTCATGTCCGTTCCCAGGATCTGAACTGGCGAAACCCTGGGCCACCGGAAACGGAGCACATGAACTTAACCACTGGGCCACGGGGTCGGCCCCTCAAAGATGTAATTTTGTGACAGGATTAACTAAAAGGGCGTGGGCATGGAGCTACAGGAGCCGAGTTTTTGTATGCTACTGATGTTAAGCTGATAGAAATTCCAGTCAGAGCATACTAACTGTAATCCTAAGATAACTACGAAGAAAATAGTGATAGAATATGAACTAAAAGCCATCAGGACACAGGGGCCTCTGAGGAGGTCCAATCCACCCACAGCCCCAGCTGCAGACACGATATGATGCGTCCAGGGTCTTGTGAGGCTCTGTGGCATCTGGGTCCCCAGGATGGGGCAGTCATACGCTGCAGCAGCGAGGGGCTCTGGCGTGCCCGTGCCCTGGCCCTGTCCTGCACCTCTGTGGATGCTCACCTTTCCCCACGGGCACCGCCAGGACGGCTGGGACGCCCAGGGTGCCACCTGCCGACCCTGTGTGGGTGGCTCGTGCCCTCTCGTTCAGCAGGTCATCATCTGCATGTTCTTAACACACCAGCTCTGGGTTTTCCAACACACTCGCTCACACACAGCGTCCTACAACCCACCCTGACCCTCAGGGGCTCTGGATGCCGATAAACAGACAAACGCCAGCACTGTGGATCAAGGCCCCGAGGTGTGCTGTGCTTTTTAACATAGACGGCATCTTATACGCTCACTTCTTTGTTTCTTAAAAAATACCACGTCACAGGCTCAGTGTAGAAAACCCTCCAATCCCGTCAGGTGAAAACACGCAGTCCCCGGTGCATCGAGGTGCCGGCAGTGGCATCTGCGAGGCCGCAGCCCCCGCCACCCACGCTGTTTACCTTCCCCTTCCTGCAGGGCTCTCTGATCCCCAACAGCCTCGGGCACCAGCTTCCCGTAGGAGTGTTTCTCACTAGAAGCAAACTTCACCGTGTCAAAGTACACGGACCCATTTGAAGCATAGCTGCAAAACAGAAAAGGAATTGGGGGAAAGTGTGACAAACCCAAAGAGCGGCCAGAGCCGCTGCACAGGGTGACAACCTGGAACTCCCGAGGGCCACACGGGCTGTGGGCTGTGCAGACTCTGCTCCTGCAGCTCCGTGATGCGGCTCCTCGAAACCAGGGCCGCTGCGTGGGCTGAGCGGGGACGTGACAAGGACACTTCGCAATGCACAGGCAAACTCCTCACTCCCAGGTCAGCGTGTCACCCGCACAGACCCTCTGCCTTGCATCCTGCCCCTTGCCTTGGTGACACTACAATCTGTGTGACGTGCCCTCACCTCTGTCTACTTTCTACCCACCTGCACAGCCCAGCCATGGCTCTCTGCCTCCCAGAAGCACTCCCGATTATCCCAGCCTGGCACACGATCTCGTGTCAAGTGGCGGAGAGCGGAGGCACTGTCACTGCTCGAGAGCCCGTGCTGCTGTGGGACCCTGCCAGGGGCCTCCACGCCTCACTTGGCGCAGCGCACGCGGCTCCTGCCGGCCTCGTCCCCAGCGAGGTGGGGAAGCAGCTCTCCCGGAGCAGGGGCACAGCACACAGGAGCGAGTGCTGCAGACAGACACCCGGTCCCTCTGCTCTTCTGTTTGTTGGTTATTTCTGAAAATGTCAACTTCAGAGACTTGCAAAGTGTCCCGTGCAATCAGATAGTGCTAAAACGGTAAATCTGGGCAGGGGCAGCCCGTGACCAGGAGTGGTGTGTGGTGGAATCAGCCAGGCGATAGGACATGGGACGAAACCAACCCCGCCTGGGATGTGACACAAGGACAAGCTCTCTCCAAGGGCCTGCACGGGGGGCTGACACCTCCATAGACCTGAGAGCGTCCATGCTCACCAGCCTGCTGCTTTGGGGCCCTCGTGGCTGAAGGTTCCCAGCTGTGAGCTTCCTAGTAGAAGGGCCGGTGAGCCCCCTGGGCGGGGATGCCCCTGGTCCTGGGCAGGGCCCTGAGCCGTAGAGCTGTAGGGGCTGCGAGGCAGGCTGAGGTGCAGCCAACACCATGCTGCTCTTCCTGCCTGCCCCGCCACAAGGGGTGCTTTCTGCACAGCTCAATACCTGTAGGAGTGGCAGCCGATACCAAGGGAAACTAGGGAGTCCTCCTACAAAGCAACCGGGCAGCTGAGAGCTAAGCGGCAGAGAGCAAGGAGGCCTGCCGTGGGGGTGAGTGCGAACAGGCTGCTGCTACGGCGAGGTTACGGCTTCACCTGTGGCCCCAGGATTCACATGCTGCCGTCCTAACCCCCAGTACCTCGGAACGTGAATGTATTCGGAAAGAGCGTCTTTACAGAGGTAATCAAGCGAAAACGAGGCCTCCAGGGTGGGCCCTCATCCAGTATGACTGGTGTCCATCTAAGAAGAGATCAGGACACGAAAGGAGACACGTGTGCACAGTGACAAACGCTGCAGAGGCAGGGAGGTGCAGCCGGCTGCGAGCCAAGGAGAAGGGTCTGCACAGACCCTGCCCTCAGGGCCCTTCGGAGGAACCAGCCCTGCCGACACCTGCAGCTCGGAGTTCCGGCCTCTGGAGCCGTGAGCAAACACCTCTGCGCTGTCTAAGACGCCCGGTGCGTGGCACTCTGTGACAGCAGCCCCGGGGCACTAGCACCCCGAGCAGCACCACAAGCACAAGCTTTCCTGCTGCCAGATCCTGACTCAGAGACGGACAGCTGTTCTCCCTGGAAAACCCTCCCCGGGATGTCATGCAGCCCCGAGGAGGGCCTTGAGCTCACCCGTAACCGTTGTCCACGATCTTCTGGACAAAGTTCACGATCTCTGGCACGTACTCACTAACCCGTGTTAAGACGTCTGGAGGGAGAACCTGCGATCACAAGAGAAGGTCCTGGGTTCTTCCCTTCTCCAGGAAACCAGCAGTTCCAAACGTAAGCCAAGAAGCCCCTCGTGCCCCTTGCAAAATGAAGACGGTCTGGGTCACACAAGGCCTTTGGGTAAGTAGGGGCCGCGGCCCGAGAGCAAGGACAAGAAAATCGGCGGCACTCACGTTCAGGGCTTCCATGTCTTTGTGGAATTCCTCTTCCCAGAACTTGGGCAGTTTGGAGAAAATGGAATTGTCAGTCACCTCACTGCCGTGTGCGGAATCCAGCCAGTCAGCAAGCAAATCCTTTGCTTCGTCCAACAAGACCTAAAGGAAAAGAAACGGAACATCCACACACGTTACAAAGTTTCTCGGATCACATGCCGTGCAGTCGACGTGTATCAATCCAGGCCTTGACTTCAAAGGCGCTGTGTGCAGCCCTGGCCCGTGAAGACGCAGCATCTCCCAGGAGCCGCACTGCTCACACGAGGGCCCAGACGGAGACAGATACCAGGCTCGTAAATGGCAGGTTCAGAGGCTCGGCGTGCTCAGGAGCTCCGACTGCCGTGGTCAGAGGGTCAGCAGGGGCTTGGGGAGGACAAGCCATGCAGCTGGGCCGCCACGGGGCAGGGCAGGAGTGCACACAGTGTGGTCATCCACGGCTGGGAGAGGATAGGGTGTTCGTGGGGTCCCTGACGCACACACACAAGCAGACTGTCACCAACAGCAGTGAATGGTTGAATGAAGCAGAGGGTGCTTGGCCACTGTCTCCTGCCGCGTCCTGTGCTGGGCCCAGGGGTTGCTGCACTGAGCAGGTCGACAGGCCCCTGCCCAGTGGAACTTGTTCTTCAGCGGGAAGACACACGTGCATTGTTTATCCGTTCTTCTTTAAACATGATACTACATCAGGTAAAAACTGATATACGGGAGAAACAGATGAGTCCACTGTCACAGTTGGAGACTTCCACACCCCTCTATCAGAAATGGACAGAACCAGCAGGCAGAAAATCAATAAGGACATAGTTGAACTCAAAAAGACCATCAACCAACTGAATATAATTGATATCTATAGACTACTTCATTCAACGACAGGCGGAATACACATTCTTCTCAAGCTCACATGGAATATTCACCAAGACAGACCACAAGGTAGGCTATAAAACACAGCTGAACAAATTTAAAAGAACAGAAATCATACACTGTCTGCCATCAGATCACAGTGGAATTAAACTAGAAGTCAATAACAGAAAGATAACTGGAAAATCCCAAAATACGTGGAGATTAAACAACACACTTCTAAATAACATATGGGTGAAAAAAGACATCTCAAGAAAAATTTAAAAATATTTTGAATAAATCAAAATGAAAACACAACTTATCAAAATTGTGGGATGCAGGGGCTGGCCTGGTGGTGTAGCAGGTAAGTTCACACGTTCTGCTTCAGTGGCCCGAGGTTCACAGGTTCACATCCTGGGTGTGGACCTATGCACTGCTTGTGAAGCCACACTGTGGCAGGCTTCCCACATATAAAGTAAAGGAAGACGGGTACGGATGTTAGCTCAGGGCCAGTCTTCCTCAGCAAAAAGAGGAGGATTGGTGGCAGATGTTAGCTCAGGGCTGATCTTCCCCCCACCCCCCAAAATGTTGAGGGATGCAGCAAAAGCAGTGCTTAGAGGAAATTTATAGCATTGAATGCATACACTACAGAAAAGAAGATTTAAAATCAATTATGTAAGTTTCTACCTTAGGAAACTAGAAAAAGAACAAATAACTCCAAAGTCAGCAGATGGAAAACAACAATAAAAATTAAAGTACAAAACACAAATCAATAGAGAAAATCAACAAAACCAAAAGCTGTTTCTTCAAAAAGATCAATAAAATTGAAAAAAGAAAGAGGACACAAATACCAAGATGAGAAATGAAAGAGGGGCTATCTCTACAGATCCCACGGAAATTAAAAGGATAATAAAGGAATACTGCAAACAACTCTCTGCCCCAAAATGTGATAACCTAGATTAATGGACCACTTCTTTGAAACACATAAGCTGCCAAAACTCACACAAGGTAATACAGATGATCTAATAAGCCCGTACCTATTAAAGGGACTGGGTAAATAATGAATAACCTTCCAAAATAGAAAGCACCAGGCCCGACGGGTTCACTGGTGAATTCTACCAAACGTTTAAGAAATCATATCCGTCTCTTTCAGAAGACAGGGGAAGACAGAATACTTCCTAATTCATTCCATGAGGAGGAAAACATTATCCTAATACCAAAACCACACAAAGACATTACAAGCAAAGGAAACTATAGACCGTATCTCTCAAGAACACAATGCAAAACTCCTTAACAAAATATTACCAAATTGAATCCACAACAGTATAAAAAAAATTATATACCATGATCAAGTGGGATTTATCAAAAGTATGCAAGGTTGGCTCCGCACTATAAAATCAATTATTATAAATCTTCATATCAATAGACTAAAAAAGAAAAATGCGGTGATCATATTAATAGATGCAGAAAACGCATTTGACAAAGTCCAACACCCATTCATGATAAAAACTCTCAGAAAACTAGGAATGGAGGGGAACTTCCTCAACTTGATAAAGAACATCTACAAAAAACCTACAGCTACCACCACACTTCACAGTGAGAAACTAGAAGCTTTCCCACTAAGATCAAGTACAATGCACGAATGTCCCCTCTCACTACTCCATTTCAACATCATACTGGAAGGCGAGAAAAGAAAATAAAAGGTATACTGAGTAGGAAGCATGACATACAACTATCTGTCACCAAATAACAAGTGTCTGTTAAAATGGCTATAGTCACTAAGACTGAAAATAACAAATGTTGGAGAGGGTGTGGAGAGAAGGGAACCCTCACACACCGCTGGTGGGAATGCAAACTGGCGCAGCCACTATGGAAAATAGTATGGAGATTCCTCAAAACACTAAACATAGAGCTACCATACGACCCAGCTATCCCACTACTGGGTGTCTACCCAAACAACATGAAATCAACAATCCAAAGTAACACATGCACCCCTGTGTTCATTCCAGAACTATTCACAGTAGCCAAGACATGGAAGCAACCCAAGCGCCCATCAACCGATGAGTGGATACAGAAGATGTGGTGGACATACAATGAATACTACTCAGCCAGAAAAAGAAAAAACCTTCCCATTTGCAACAACTTGGACGGACCTGGAGGGAATTATGCTGAGCAAAATAAGCCAGACTGAGAAAGACAAACACCAGGTGACTTCACTCACGTGTGGAATTTGAACAAGCACATGGACAAAGAAAACAGTTCAGTGGTTACCAGGGGAAGCGGGGTGGGCACGGTGGGGGAAGGGGAGCACTTATGTGGTGAGAGACAAGAAATAATGGACAGGGGTCGGCCTGGTGGCACATCGGTTAAGTGCGCACGTTCCGCTTTGGTGGCCTGGGGTTTGCTGGTTCAGATCCAGGGTGCGGACATGGCACCGCTTGGCACGCCATGCTGTGGTAGGCGTCCCACACATAAACTAGAGGAAGACGGGTACGGATGTTAGCTCAGGGCCAGTCTTTCTCAGCAAAAAGAGGAGGATTGGCAGCAGTGAGCTTAGGGCTGATCTTCCTCAAAAAAAAAAAAAAAAAAAAAGAAAGGACAACTGAAATTTCACAGTGATGTAAACTATTATGAACTCAAAGGAAAAAAAATACAGCAAATCAGAATGTGGCACTGATGTTTTTCACACACACAAAATAATTAGTACAGTAATAGTAATGAAAATATACAAGCTGAACTCACCCAGAGGAGGTGTGATTAGGAGGTAGTTGGAAACAAAAACACAAATGACAACCTAAAAAAAATAGGCCAAAAACATTAACAAACACTTTACCAAAGAAGACACACAGATGGCAAATAATTCTCAAAAGATGCTCCACATCACATGTCATCAGGGAACTGCGCATTAAAACGAGACACCACTGCACACCTATCAGAATGGCCGACATCCAGAACACTGAGAACACCAAATACTGGTGAGGATGTGGGGCAACGGGAATGCTCACTCGTTGCTGGAGGGATTGCAAAACGGTACAGCCACTTGGCAAGACACTTCGGCAGTTTCTCATAAAACTAAACATGCTCTTACTATACAGCCCAGCAGTCATGCCCCTTAGCATTTACCCAAAAGAGCTGAAAACTTACATCCACACAAACACCTGCCCACAGGGCCAGCCTGGTGGTGCAGCGGTTAAGTGCGCACGTTCGGCTTCGGCGGCCCGGGGTTCACCGGTTCAGATCCCAGGCGCGCACACGGCACCGGTTGGCACGCCATGCTGTGTCAGGCGTCCCACGTATAAAGTAGAGGAAGATGGGCACGGATGTGAGCTCAGGGCCAGCCTTCCTCAGCAAAGACAGGAGGATTGGCGGGAAATGTTAGCTCAGTGCTAATCTTCCTCAAAAAAAAATAACAAACCAAAAAACCTGCACACAGATGTTTATAGCAGCTTTAGTCCTAATTGCCAAAACCTAGAAGCAACCAAGAAGTCCTTCAGCAGGTGAAAGGGCAAATAAACTGTGGTCCATCCAGACAATGGAATATTATTTAGCACTAAAAAGAAAGGAGCTATCAAGCCACAAAAAGACACAGCAGGAACTAGAATGCACATTAAGTGAAAAAAAGCCAATCTGAGAAGGCTACATAACTATACACTACACGACCCCAACTCTGTGACACTCTGGAAAAGGCGAAACTATGGAGACAGTACAAAGATCAGTGGTTGCCAGGGGTCAGCGGAGAGGGAGGGGGGATGAAGAGGCCGAGCACAGAGGCTTTTTCGGGCAATGAAACTACTACGTAGGATCCTGGAATGGCGGACACATGTCATTATACATTTGTCCAAACCCACAGAATGGATAACACCAAGACAGAACCCTCAGGTAAACTACAGACTCTGGGTGGTGACGAGGCATCCACGTCGGTTCCTCAATTCTAACAAACATGCCACTCTGGTGAGGGACGGTGACAGTCGGGGAGGCTATGCGTGGGGGTGCAGGGAGTACATGGGAATCTCTGTACCTTCCTCTCAATTCTGCTGTGAACCTCAAACTACTCTCAAAAACCGCTCTTTAAAAATACTGACGAAACAGAAAGACAGAACAGGGAGGGTCAACACAGCCAGAGTTGGATTTGAAACAATTCTCAGAAGTAAGATTTAAAATCCCAACAGTGTCTTGGATGAGACTCAACAAGCTGAGGAGAATTCAAAACACACTTGAAAAACAAAAACAAGATGAGGCCTCTTCCTCAGCAGACATCAGTGAGAGACACGGTGACACCTCTGCAGGTGGGTCCTCTGACCAACCAACAGGACTGACAGACCCACGGACAGAAACCCGACACATAACAGAGCGGGCCCTGCAGGTCCCCGAGGAGGGGTGGCCTTCCGTATTTTGAGGGTAAAGGGGATTGGATTCCTACTCACACCACTTACAAAAACTGATTCTAGGAGGATCAAAGACTCAAATGTGAACTGTACAACTTTAAAATCTCCAGCAGAAAATACTGGAGAATATCTTTATGTCTCAGGGTAGGGAAGATTTCTTAAGACACGAAACTGTAAGTATAGAAAAAAGAACCTGGGGCCAGCCCCGTGGCTGAGTGGTTGAGTTCGCGAGCTCTGCTTCAGTGGCCCAGGGTTTCGCCAGTTCAGATCCTGGGTGCGGACATGGCACACCATTCATCAAGCCATGCTGTGGTGGCGTCCCACATAGCACAATCAGAAGGATCTACAACTAGATTATACAACTACGTACTAGGGGGCTTTGGGGAGAAGAAGAAGAAGAAAAAGTCCTGATAAATTTCAGTATATTAAAATCAAGACCCTCGGTTATTAAAAGAACGTGAAAAGAAAAGCCACTAATTGGGAGAAAGTGTTTGTAACACATTTAAATGACTAAGGATTAGGGTCCAGAGATGGAAGAAGGCTTACAAACCAGTAAGAAAAACACAAATGGCCCAGTGAAAAATGGAGAGGCCGTGCACAGAACTAAAATGCACATGTGGAAAGACACTGAGTCTCACGAGAGGTTGGAGAAATGCACATTCACACCACAGTAATGACCACTTCAGTTTATGAAAAGGAAAGACTCTGACACTATGAAGAGCTGGTGTTCATGCAAATTAACACAACACTGGAAATGGGTTAGTCGTCGGACACACCTGCACCCACGTTTAGGCAACTGTTACCGTACGGCAGGCCCCAGCTGCCGCCCCGAGAAACGCCTGCTGGCAGGTCGGTCCCTGGCTGTGTCTGGAGATAAAACGTCCCCTGCACTGAGAGGCGAGGACGCCCAGCCCCGCTGCAGCCGCTCCAGGCTGTCCCTGCACAGTGCGGCTCCCTCAGAACACAAACGAGCTCTCCTTCTGAGTCAGAAGTCGGGGTTCACGCCAGGCAGGGGCGCTTACACGACAGAGCCCAGTAACGCCTTGGGTGCTGAGGCTCTGAGGGGCTCCCCGAGCAGAAACACTTCGCCCGAGCAGCTGCAGTGTTCCTGGTGGGGAGAGTGCTCGGGCCCCTCAGGGGAGGGAGGAAGGCGGCTTCAGAAGCTGGCCATGGGTTCCTCCAGACTCCCCCCGGGCCTTCCTCCCCCTCCGCGCCCCTGCGATCAAACTTCCATCTCTTCCATCTCTTCCATCTCTGCTGCGTCCTATGAATCCTTCCGGAGAATCACGGAACGTGCGAGAGGTGTTGGGGACCCCCAACGGTTACACAGCCCCTACAGCTCAGCAATTTCACCCTCAGGTGGACAGCCCAAAGAAACTCTTGTAAACGTGCACCCACAGACAGACAGAACACAACTCCCAGCTCACGAAAACACGCTGAACAGCACTGGTGCTTAGGGAAGGGCAAAGCAAAACCACAGTGAGGTACCGCCTCCCACCCACTGCGATGGCTACCATCGGTGAAACAAAGTAACAGGTGTTGGCGAGGACGTGGAGAAACCAGGAGCCTCATGCTGCTGTGGGGAACAGTATAGCGGGTCCTCAGAACATTAAAAAAGAATTACCACGTGAGCCGGGAATCCCTCTGCTGGATCTATCCCCGAAAGAAGTGAAAGCAGGGACCCAAACAGATATCTGCACACCCATGTTCACAGCAGCATTAGTCACAACAGCCAGAAGGTGGAGACAAGCCAGGTGTCCATCGATGGATGAATGGATACACAAAATACCGTATATATACACCACGGAACATTATTCAGTCTCAAAAAAGGAAATTCTGGCGCATGCTACAACATGGACAAACCTCGAGGACATCCTGCTGAGTGAAATAAGCTAGTCACAAAAGGACAAATACTGTAGGATTCCACTTATATGAGGTCCCTAGAGGAGTCATATTCACAGAGTCAAAAAGTGGGATGATGGGTGCCGGGGGCTGGGGGAGCGCGGGCAATGGGGAGCTGGTGTTCAGTGGGGACAGGGCTTCCGTTTGGGAAGGTGAGCAAATGTCTGGAGATGGACGGAGGTGACGGTTGCACAGCAATGAGGCTGTGCTTCCTGCCAATGAACTGGGCACTTAAACATGGTTAAGACGGTAAATCTTACATTACACATATTTTACCACAATTTTTTATAAAAGGTTATTAGTGGGACAATTGGGAAAAAATTCACGGCAGCATTGTTGCTGACAAGGAACCGGCTCTGCTGTCCCAGAGGAAGGGATGAGGCGTCCACTGAGTAAGGACAGGCCCACCTCGGAAGCACATCCAAGAGGGCTCGTCCCCAAGACCACGAAGGCCTGTGTGCTTTTCACAAGCTCAGAACAAGCACGGCCTAGCGATCCGTTGTGTGGGGCCACAGAGGAGCAACACTGAAGCCGGGCGGGCCCCCGTGTGCGAGTTTCCTCATGCAGATTGTGACTTACAGCCCCGTCACCGCATGGTTTCTGCAGGTTTCTTGTCTCCATCGAGTACTGAACATGGTGACCAGCAGGGGGCGCCGGCGGGAAGGAGAAGGGCCCATGGACACCTTCCCACCAGCAGGGGGAGGGCAACACGGGGAGGCCAGACTGCGGGGGCAGTCCCTGTGTGGCACTCAGGCAGGGAGAGGCCCCGAGAGGGCGCGGGCCCCTTCGTATGAAGTGCCCCAAATCTGTCTGAAGGAAGGCCTTTCACAGAGGGAGAAGAGTGGCCCAGGGGAAGGCCCTGAGTTCAGCAGGGGCCCCAGGCCCCGCAGCTCATTTCCACTTCAATCTCTCGCTCCTCCTTCTCCAGGAGCTGCACTGAGAACCATCAGCGGCGAGCCCACCGACAATCCTGGAATTATTTCGAGAGAAGGCTGCTCCCCCAGGCATGCCAAGTGCGCCTCCTATTTATCTGGGGGACGTGGTGGGAAGGAGTGGGAGCAGGGGCAGGAGGATGTGGGACAGCAGAGTGGCCCGGCCCAGGGTGCTGGGTGCTAACACAGCCCCACGTCTGCGTGCAGGGAGCCCCTTCCATGCACAGGGCTGGCCCGACTCACTCCAAACCTCACCTCCACGTGGCTGCTGAGCTCCTCCTCTCCAGCGAGGTCACGCCGCACCGCTTCCTCCAGCGGTTCTGCGGCTAGCTTCACCGCGTGCTGAATGCGTTCAAGCATCTGCTTTTTGTCGGGATCCGTGGTCTCACTGAGTTTTACCGAAAACGGCTACAAGCGTGAGGAGAAGGCAAGGCTGTCAGACACTGCCCAGCAGACCCTGCCCTCAAAGGCTACTCAGCGCAGCAGAGACCAGGGCTTCCCACTGCCTGCGGCCACTAGGAAGTGTGTCCTTGAGAGTGTCCTCCTAGCTCTCCCCAAGCGGCAGGACGGTAGCAGAGACCCTGCTGCCCGGCCCAGGAAGCCCCCTGCTGCTGCCTCCTCACACCACCCCGGGCAGGGCGCCCCACCTCCCTCTCTCTGACGGACAGTGGCTGTGAGAGCAGCACTCCTAAGACTACGCTAGGGACGACACGAGGTGTCATCTACGGACCTCGAGAGGTGCCACCGGCCACCTCTGTCACAAAGGCGCCCACAGCCTACTGGGCCCTCACCTCGTTGGCAGAAAAGATTGCTAAGCTCTAATTTTATTCCTATTCTTTCAGAGATAAAGCGGTATAAGCACACCAGTAATTATTACTGTAATTACTGAGGAGAATAAAATGACTTGCTCTATTTGACTATGGAATATTATAATTTGTAATACTGTTTATTCCAAATTAAAATATTAAATTAGCAAGAATTAATTTCGTCAAATAACTCTGAAAATTTCCAGTATTACAAATTTAAGAAGCTGGCACGGCTTCTGCATCTCAGTCAAAAGGATCTGACTTGGTTGTGACCTCAGGTGGAAGATTCGATAGCAATGTTAGGAGCCTTTGACAGGTAAGTGTAGCGTAGCGGCACGGTGACGAGTCCTGACATTTTCCCATGAGTGGCAGGAACAATCCCCTAATCCACTCCCCCGGCCATGCGTTTCTCTCCTGGCGACTTGGCCCAAGGGCCCACATCAGTCAAGACTTCAGTGAGCCCTGATGGAACTGGCTTGGGTGCCGTATACTTTGTGAGGCCTGCTGAGGGCAGCCACTACTCTAGGCACAGTGATGAGGAATGGCCGAGGGCCGAGGGCCGAGACCAGGAATCAGGGAGCAGGCAGCGACGGGCCCACCTTCAGGGCGGCGTGAACATCCTCCAGGAGCTGCGCTGCCCGGGGCCTCTTCTCCCGGTACTGCTCAAACAAGTAGTTCTGCCGGGCCCTCTTGATGATCTGGAAAGAGAAAAGGCAACATGTGGCTTGTGCGCAGAGCCTGCTTCAATCTCTGTGCAGCAGGTGGACTCTGAGCGAGGGGCAGCCGTGGGCCCCGGCCGTGCACAGCCTGGGGGAACATCATCGCCCTCCATCACCCGACTGCCCAGCGGTGCCCAAGGGCCACACCTCCTGGTGCAGAGACTGCTCCACAGTCACCTTTCCGACGTGGAGGACACAGGCCGGCCCCAGCTTCCCACGCAGTGCCACACACAAAACCATGTGCTTCCTTCCGTGAAGCACCACGGAGCATTAACATTTAGCCAACCTGGGCCCTGAACATGCAGGTTTCAAACAGCATCTAAACATCTAAATCCAACAGAACACCATTTGCATAAACTGAGATACCAGCTGATTGAGGGGGTTCAAATAATGTTTACCAGTCAAGACCTGAGCTCGTTCAAGCCCACCTTCTTTTATCGACACATCCAAAAGTCTTTTCTGCCTTCGTAACATCCATTGTTTCTGAAATTTCATCTTGCAAGCTCCCCTTACCTTATCGTCAATGTCTGTGATGTTCATGCAGTAGAAGACGTCGAATTTGAAGTAATCCCTCAGCACTCGTCTCAGGATGTCGAAAGAGATATAGGACCTGCAGCAACGAAAAGACAGGCATTTGCAAACTGCACACTCGGCGCATCATCTCGGCATCGCAATGAAGACATGAACAAGGGAAAGGAGGCCGTGGCATTTCCCCCACAGCCAGCTGCCCTTACACACGGTACCCCGAGACCACCACGGGGTCAGCATCCACTAGGCCCCAGGTCTGAGTGTCTGGGAAACATCCCCCCCGAGCTTCAGGGTGAGGAAAACTTTAAGGCACACGGAAAAAAGCGTGTGGGTACAGTCCAAGAGATCAACAGTGGGGCTGCGGGGCGCTGTCCTTATTGGCTGTCAGTATTCTCTAAGTTTTCTACAGAGAATATGGCTTCTTATGAAATGAAAATGTCTATCTTCAAATCAAGAGAAAGAAGTCCAGGGTGGATTTTCCCATCAAGCCTCAGGAGCTGAGCTGCTCCCCGGGGCCCCGCACGTGTGCAGCCCCAGCAGCAGGCCCTACCTGGCGTGCCCCATGTGAGAGGCGTCGTAGACGGTCGGCCCACAGCAGTACCACGTCACCTTCTTCCCACTTTGAGGTATAAACACGTCCTTAGTGAGAAGCAGAAGAACGACAGTTACAAGAAGGGTGAGGCGTCGCGCAGGAACACCCCAACCAGCCGCGAGGAGAACCCTGAGGTCTGTCGGTTCATAGACGATTTAGCAAGGGCCGTTTTGTTTTACTAAAAGAAGTCACAAAGTCTCAGCACGGGGGGCAATCGGACTCTCGAGGCCAGGTTCCCGAGGATGAGGAGGCCCTCTTCCTCCCTGGCTCCCACCCCTCAGGGGGGCTGGAGGTGGAGGAAACGCATGGGCCACTTTGTTGGAAAGCTGCCTCGTTAGCAGCAGCAGCAGCCGCACTGAGGGAGCGCCTAGGCCGGGCCCGCCCTGCGCCGAGCACTTAGACTGACCTACACCTGCTCCTAGAAACAGTGAGAGCAGGTGGGCGCTGCGCTCTTCCTTTCACAGATGAAGACACAGGTCTCGAGCAGCTGCCCAGCGTCCGCGCTCCTGGAGGAGCCTGGCGTAGAGGCAAGGACCGCTGGATCCAAGCGCTCTTTGCAAACTGCTCTGCACGCCGACACTGTCGGACCAATTCAGGGCCCGCCGGCATCAACCCGGCCCATGAAAGGACACCCTGTCTCCCCGTCTGCTAAGTGTGCTTGCTGATGGACACGCAATCAGCCCACGGCCAGAGCCCTTTTCAGAATCTCTGGAGCCACGGGCCACGCTGAGCAGAACCAACCAAGCAAACCCCACTCAAAGTCTTCTCGAAACCTGCTCAGCTCCCAGCAACACTGGACAGGTCCACTGTGTTGCTACTTCTGCTTGGCTTGTACTGTGATGTCTGCTGCTGCCACGTGTCCTCTCCGAGAGCATGCCAATACTTGGCTCGGCTCTGAATGACCCTGAGCATTTACACTTGGGCAGGGCTCAAAAGCCTACTCCGGGTGCTCCATGCCCAGAAGCCAATGGGCAGGTTTCCCAGCGAGGTGTAACATGAGTGTGTCAAGTTTCAGAGGACAGCTCCTCGTCAGGCCACACAGAGAGTCCACGTGAGGAGCTCAAGGATCCCACACCTGGATTGCGGGCACTCCAGGGCAGGCCACCGTGAGGCACAGACAACACCTGTGTGTTTTGAAAGGGCACCTTGGGCCCCGACAGAGCCGTGTCTGCCCCGCCCCCATGGGATCCCTCCTCACCTTGTTCCGGGTGAGGCTGTTGTAAAGGCGGAGCCTGCACGGCTCGGACCCGGCCGGAGGAGACCACTGAGGCTGCACCCGCCGGCCTTTACCTGCGAGGGCAGAGAGAGCGGCCAGGTCACAGGAAATGCAAGTCACACTGCGTGTTTGCTTTTACAACAGAAATCTTGTTTTCAGCAAAATGTGAAACAACATTAACATGAATCTCTGTCAGCATCACCCAGTCAAATGCAACTGCTTCCCTGTTTTGCTGTGCTCCCATTCTGCGCGGCAGGGATCCCACGACAACCCCCAACCCCAGCACGGCGGGAGAACGCCTCCACGACGTGTCCACGCCCATCACATCCCACTGGGCTTCAAACATGGGCCCGCCTGCTCGCTCCGTGTGCACAGCGTCCGACACAGCTCATGGGTCACGAGGAGGCGCTTGTGGGTCAGTCTGTGCTAACTGAAAAGGTGATTATTTGCACCTCATGGGTGTCTGGTGACATTCCAACCACTCCCAAGGCTCTGCTCCTGTGCCCCGAACCCAGCTGTTCCCTTTAGTCCTCGCACCAGAGCTGGCTTTGTGGCGCACTCCACTGTGCACACCTGCAGGCACGGCTGCTGCCCCAGGCCCGCCCCAGGACGGGCCCACGAGGTGGAGGCCTCGGCAAGGCCTGTGTCCCTGGCGCACTGAGCTGCCCTCTGTGTGTCCACTCCCCTCTCCGCCCCTCTCTGCAGAGGGCTTCTCCCTCATGCCAGACGGTTTGACGACAGGTGAGACCCTGCACAGCCTCCTTGAATCGATGACAAATGCAGCCAACAGATCACTACACGCTGCTTCCCACCGGAGTCACAGAGTAGTCAGTCCTGGGCTCCGCCATTCACCCAAGGTCTTGTCCACCAGACAGAGGATGTGCGTAACGGACAGGCGAAGGGGAGAGGAGGAAGGCAGCTGCTGTGTGTGCGTGCGTGCGTGTGCCCTGAAAAGTGTGCCTGCAACAGCCTGCCAGCAAGGAGAGGAGCAGACGAATGGGGAGGGAGGGAGACAGATAGACAGCGCTCAACAGGAGCTCTTATTCGAGCTAAGTGCCAGCAAACTCACAGGTTCTCCCACTGGGAAAAGTCCGAATCCTCACGCAAACACCAGATGCTGACTAAGGGTCACCCTAAATGCAGCCAACGCCCTCGAAGGGAACTCTCAGTCCACGGTGAGGTGACGGTCAATCTGCCACTTCAGGACTCCGTCAACCCCCTCCCTCGCTCAGACCCTGGAACTCCACCCGGGATGACTGGGGATGCTGGCCAGAGTCGCCCCACACACTGAGGTGAACCAGACGACCATCAGCGACCGTCCTGCTCAGCACCAAGGGCTCGGGCATCAGAGGACCGAAGGCCCATTGGAGAAGACTTGAGACGGCTGGTGACAGGACACAGCTGGCCCAGACCCTGGCCAGCGGGACACTGTCCTGGACACTGGGTCACACTCAGGCTTTCTAGCTCCCCAAAGGGCTGCTACTGCCACACGGCTGGTGACAGGTTCAGGGAAGTTTGGCATATACAAAGTCTATTTGCCTAAGGGAAAAACTGGGAAATACTGGACAGGGACTTTTGATTTAATACGAAGACATTTTCACTAGCGTTCCCTTACATAATTAATGGTCCCCTGCCACGGAGGGCAGAGAAGCACTTCATAGGGACATAGGGCTGTCGGCCACAAAGGAGAGAGAAGCACGAACGCTTATATTCCCACACGCATGGCCTCAGCATCCGACGGCCCCGTGCCTGCCGGGTATTCTCAGGGAAGAGCACACATCCTGGGGGGATGGATGTGGCAGGTGGCAGAGGGGTCCTGGGAGGAAGGCCGTCGGCTGGGAGCCCTGCTCTGGATGAGGGGCGCTCCAGACACAGACACAGCAAAGATGGGGCCTTGAGTGGAGCGGACCTGCCATGCTGGCGCCGCAGAGAGGAGGCGATGAGACGGAGATGGGGTAGCAGAAGAAAGAGAGAGGCAGGGAAGGGGCTTAGGCAGAGCTATGGCCTGACCTCCCATGTCTCAGAGGGTCCCTTGGGACTGCTGGGGCCCATGGCCAAGAGGAGAGGACATGGAGGGCACGAAGGTGGCACAGGGGACATAGACTGGGGGTCAGCAGAGGGAAACGGGGACCAGTTATGACACCTGGTGCTGACCGGATGCCCAGCAGGGACGGAACCTCCAGCAGGAACAGGGACTCGGAGGGAAGGCAGATGGGGTGCTGCGGAGAGAGGGGCTGGAAGAGGTGGTGCTCCCGCTCAGGACAGGCCTTCAGAGATGTCTGAGATGGGCAGCTGCTCCGGTCCTGGCGGCAATGTGGGGAGGCGGATGCTCGGCTCCTGCCATTCCAGGCAGTAGATGAGGATGTCGGACTCCGAGGGCTCTGGGACCTGCTGGAGGCCACAGGCTGACAGGCAGCAGGGCTGGACCCCAGCCCTGTCTTGCAGGCCAGCCGACCTAACACATGCCATCCCCTGGGCACATAGGTCCCTGGTGGACTCCTGCATGGCCTCGGTGACAAAGTGACTTGGAAATGATAGGAGGCAGGACAATCCTATGCATGCCGTTCAGGGTGCCTCCTCCACCCGCCTCTGAGTCAGCCTAGAGCCGCCTCCCTCATTAGCCGGGCCATCCTTGCCTCGAGTGGCAGACTCTTTCTTATCTCATGATGCTTAAGAGGACATGTGTCTACATCAGTCTTTCAACAAGTTCCCTGCATGGAAGACCAGACAGGCTTCTGGCGAGGTGGGGAGCCCCAGATTCTCCCTGATCTCGGCCTCCGAAGGCTGTGCCATGGGAGCTGGGGCCTGAGGGTCAACCTGATACCTGAGCCTTTCAGAGACAACATGCCTGACACCAAGAAGTCACCTCGGTCACTGCACCGGACCCACAGACCAATGCTCCCACCCTAGCTGCAATCCTGTTTACTGCAGGATTACCCAGAAAACCAAATACACCCTTCTCTCAGAGAAAAGACACCCCACGAACAGCTGCTCACGCAGGGGGATCAGTGGACCCGACCAGCAGTACAGGCATTGTGGAATGTTCCAAATGCCGCACTTGCAGAAGTCTGGAAAGCCCCCAGGGGGGCACCTAGCCCAGCAGGGACCACCAGAGACAGCATGTGGCCCACCCCACTGTGAAGGTGGGGGGTGCTCAAAGCCGCGGTGGGACTGAGCTGCTCAAGGGCATCGAGGCCGTTACGGGACGAAGGACCCCTGGATGACACATCAGAGGAGAAAGAGAGCCCACATGTGAACTGAGCCCAGAGACTCTCCAGAAGCTCCCCCAAAATGACAGGGGCCGCGCTAGTATGGACACCCCAGCAGTCACAGGATGGAACCACAGCCACGCAACTGATTCCACCTCCAAGCCGAGAAATGGTTCACGGCTGACGTTCAGAAGTTCAATGTCAATCAATCCTGCTTTAGGACTTAACACTTCCACATCTGAGGGACAAACCACGGCAATAGACGGACAGAATACACAAACAGAGCCATGTCACATCGAGCCAGGCAGGAGCTGGAGGAAACGCCAAGGCCGGAGCCCTCGGCTCAGCCCTGCTGGACCCCCAGGCGGCATGCGCCCCCCACAGCTCCGCTACAGCAACCGCGGGGGTCCTGGTCCTGCAGAGTCAACTTCTCGGCGTGTTTTATCCTAACCTCTAGCAGGGAGCGCTGGTCGGCCCACCAGTCCACTTGCTTGCACCTGGTGACAGGAGCCAGCCCGTGGGCTCCTCCAGGGCACTGCTGCCAACCAGCACCGAGCATCCATGGGGCAATGGAGAAAGGTCCTGACCTGGGAGGGGGCCGCCGACGGGAGAGCTCCTAACGGCTGGGGAGGCCGCTCTGCTACTCACTTGTTTGGAGCCCACAGGGCTCGCCTCTGCTGCAGGGGCCGCCCAGGATCGCTTCTATGTGCCTGAACCAGCGAGCCACATGGAAGAGCCGAGCATCAGCGGGAGGGGCCGCGAGCTGACTGAACACGTCCACGTCTGCCTGGGACAGCGAGTGCCCCTGCACATAGCTACGCGTGCTGAGGTGCTCGTTCAGGGCCTGCACTCTGGCTGCCTCGTCACTAATGCTCAGGATGGACCTGTAGTCGGGAGCTGCAAAGACAGAGGCACACGATGTCAGTCAGGGGACAGAGGCCTCGGGCGAGAGTCCACAAAGATGGGGCGCCTGGGTGTCAACCCTGAAACGTCCACCGAGACAGAACGCAGACAAGCGGCTGCCTGGGGCTGGGCACGGGGAAATGGGGTTTTCAGTGTGGGGAGATGAAAATGTTCTGGAACCGGATAGAGCTGTGGTTGCACCACATTGCAAATGCACTAAATGCCACTCAATCATTGTCCACTTTAAAACAGTAATTTCACCTCAATTAAAGAAAAACTCAAAATAAACAAACACGTACACAGCCCCTTTTCTGCAGTGGCACACCTCTCGTCCGGGCCTCGGGAGGGACAACGAGGGTGGGCGAGGATGCAGAAGTCTCGGCCCTAAGGACGCGGTCCAGACCCCTGCTCTAGCAAGGCTTCTAGCAGCCGAAGGCTGTGCCCTAGGAGGACGGCAGCCACCTGACACGCCTGCCTGAGAGAGCTCGAGCCAGCAGCTGACCACATGCCTGGCCCTCCCTCTCAGAGCGATGACTGAAAAGGCTGACAACTGTGACTCCATGTATCCCAGAACCCACGAGCATCTCCCTCAGCGACCCGAAGCCCATCCCTCTGAGAGGGGATCTTCAGGAAGGGTGGGCCCCTCTCCCATCTGTGGGAGGACAGACTCCTAACTCCAATAATCACCAGCTAGTGGACACGGCTGGCCCAAGGCCCTGACCTCACCACCCTTTGTGACTTTCATCTCCCTGACTGTACTGGGTCCCGCTCGCCCCTCCCCTGCCCTCTCCCTCCTTCCCCCTTTACTGCGCCCCGGGGCCCTCGCCCCAGCCTCTGCACAAATCCGGCCCAGCTCAGCTCTTCCTGCCTTCGGTCACTGAGTAAAACCTGCTGTCACTGCATTAACAAATGGCCGGGTGGGTGCATCTTTGGCCAGGGGGGCACAGACGCAGCCCCCCACAAAAGCAGGGAGGCAGAGGCAATTTGGGTGGCACCAGGCCCTCGTCTGCGGGAAGGAGGTTGGTCCCTGAGCCCACAAGCCTGAGCCGCATCCAAGCCTCACCCCCCACTGATTTTGGTTTTATTTTCTGAGGGGACTGTGGAAAAAGGACCAGGGCTTCTTCCCCTCCACACAGACGCCCCTTCGGCCCAGGAGTCAGCTCAGAGGGGGAAAGGACAGGCCCGTCCCCTCTCGCTTTGCCAGGCACAGCCTTCTTCCTGGGCACAGGGCAGACACCCCGACGCCTGAGCCCAGAGTGAGCTGCCTGACACCACGAGGTCACTAGGTCATCATGTAGGACCCATGGCAGGGACGGCTCTGGATGGGGAGGAGACCCGGACCTACACAGCCATGTGCCCACCTCTGACCTCTTCCTCCCTATCTCCGTTTACCTGCCCAGCACAGGAACAGGAAAATCACCCCAAACAAGCCCACACAACTCCTGAAAACAGACGGCAGAGCATGTGGGGGGAGCAGCTGCATACACAGACGCCTTTCTGCACCTGCTTCCACTACAGGGAAGCCCCACTCGGGTCCTGCCCACACGACCTCCCAGACTCGCTGGGGTCAGCAAGGATGAGCAGGAACCCACTAACAGGAGGACGGAAGCCTGCAGCATTTTCCAAGCTGCTGCAACGTGAACCACCCCAACGGTCCCAGGGCGCCCCAGGGGAGCGGTACGGTGACTCCCCAGGGCCCAGTCTCCAGGGACACTGGCTTCCCAGGCATGTCCCGAATCCTGACCTCTTCACCTATAGGAAAGGTGTCAGCAACAACAGGAAAAATCTTCCCTGAGCTCTCAAATGGATGCTGAGCTTCAGACAAGGCTTTCCAGAAACACCGCCTGCTCCTCCCGACTGCACCCCAGGAAGGTTCCAGCACAGAGGCCTGTCTCATCCGATGCCAATAGGACGGTCGCACATTCCATGTGGCCACGAGGGGCCACTGCTTCGCACATCCTTCCATCTCAACTGGAGTCACGCCCCTGCACAAATTATCCTCAGGAACCCCCACAGCCAACCAACGGCACAGTTCAGGGACTCCACTTTCAACCGGATCCCCGTGGTTGCCACGGCAAGGGCCCAGCCCCTCTCTCACCCGAATCCCTCGCTGCAGGCCGCTCCACAGGCATCCTGGCTTTGCACAACACAGCGGCCCTGCTGAGAGTGCAAGCTCACACCGCTGCCTCTCGACCCCCCACCTCACTCAACAAGACCAGGCCTTACCCAGGCCTCAGGACAGCCCCACGTGGGCCTCCAGACCTGTCTCACATCAGCTCCCGTCCCCACCTCACGCACCCCACTCTAGCCACACGGGTCCCTGCTCACCCCACAGGAGCCTGCTCTGCTCCCTTTGCAGGGTCTCTTGTCCCACCGTCCCTGCCAGGAACGCTCCCGCAGACGGGGCCAGGCTCCCTCCCTTCCTCAGGCTCCGCTCAGTGTCCCCTTCTCCAGGAGGCCTTCCCAGACACTGTTCCAAATGACCACCCGCCCCCGGAGTCCCACCCCTTCCTGCTTTCCTTCTCCAGAGCACTTATTTCTAACTTCCACTCCTTCTGTCTGTCCTTTACTGTCTCCCCTGTTTCCAGTCATTCTGCGCTGCTTTATTTCCTCAGCAGACATACTCGGCATCTAGAACTGAGCCTGGAACATTCTAGACACTCGATAAATCTGCAGAATAAATGAATGAGCGAGCAGCAGAGTGCATCTCAAAGTGCAGTACGGCCTGTGGTGGGCTGGGCTGCAGCTGTCATTCTGGGGCCTCGGCCGGCGAGTCTAGAGCAGCTTCTGAGGCCCAATGGCTTGCTCAGCGGGAGCCCTGCTGCCCCAAGGTGCACACCTCCAGGGGGTGCTGCTTCTGCTTCGCGCCAGCCCTGCAAGGAGAACAAGCCACTTTGCACTTGGGGCCTTGGAACTGTCCAAGGAAGCAAAGGGACACAGAGGCGGACGCCTCCCTGCTGCAGGTGCCAGCAGGGTCCCAGGGCCCACGAGGGCCCTTGAGTAGCTGCCGCCCCAGCTCTCCTGCCCTCTCCTGAGCAGGAGGCTCTAAGGACCCAGCCCGAGGGCTGTCGGGAGCAGCCCCCATCCTCACAGGCCCCGTGTCCGCGTCTGACACAGAGAAGGAAGTTCCAGGCAGATCTGTGTCTCCCACTCTTCTACGGAGGGGGCCTGTCCTCATGACCCCCGCCTCACAGTCACCAAGGTCGAGACTCTGATTAGACACGCTCTCTTCCTGCTGAAGAGGAAACCCAGGGACAGGAAGGCGGCACCGACAGGGCAGTTCTGGGCACCACTAAGCCAGCACCCGGGAAACCTAACGAAACAAATGTCAGACTTCTCGGAAGCCTTCTGCACAGCACCTTCCTTCCAGGGAACTTCTGTTTTACCCGGTGACATTCCTCCAACAGCTCAGCCGTCTGCTAGGTGGCTGCTGGCCATGCCCCTCTGTTAGGATGAAGAAAATTCAGTTCACTGAAGAGAAGTCTGAGGACCTGCCAGAGGTGTGGACAGAGCCGGGAGGTGGGAAACATCCCAGGACGGGGTGGCCGTCCTTCGGAAGCTGTTACCCCAACGCTGCCCGCTCCCAACCCTCTTTCCTATCTCCTAGCATCTTCCTCGTGCAACTATGTGTGCCAGGACCAGACACGGAGGGAGGGAGGGGAAACAAAGCAAGAGATGACAGCACCACTCTGAGAACAGCGGCCCGGCAATTTCAAGATCCTAAGCGCCCGGAAGCCCCAAATAGCAGGCAGACGGAGAGATTGTCTCCCCAAAAAACGTCTTCCAGCGAGCAAAGCAGACGGCAGGGAACTCCCCACACACTCACACTGGCTGTCTGTGTCGAGCGGGGCTCCAGGCGATTATTTCCCTCTATTTTCTTCCCTGCACACCTTCTACCTTATGTTATTTCTATGCTGAGAAAAAAAACGTAAAATGTTCTAACCAGCGGACGGCTTGAAAGCGCTAAGACACTAGTTGAGGGAACTGCTGGTGGGCGGGCTGCTGGGGAGGTGGCCCTGGAGGACCAGCGCCAGGCCCCGGCCGTCGCCTCCTGTGGGGAAACAGGCTCAGACAACACACGCCTCGTAAAGCTGTTGAGCATTAAGCAAAATTACACTTGTCAAATGTTTAAAATGCCTCCTGGCACTCAGCCAGCGCCCAATGGGTTTGCCATTACTATTATTATCATAATCACTCCCGCATTAGTGTTCTTATTATCAGATTCGCCCTGGAGGAGTTTACCCGGGGACTACACACACATGTAGAATGCGCCGTCTGGAGCAGCTCAGACCTTCATAAAGGAAGGCTGTCCTCAGGCCGGAGGGGCGGTGCCCAGGGCGCAGTGGGAGGACGGGCTTCCAGGCCCCGGGCGACAGTCGCTGGGCTCACTGCAGCAGCTGCATGAAGGCCACGGAGGAAACACACGCACAGGCCAGCCGTGAAGTGGGCACGGCTTTGGGCCAGCCTGTGGTCTGGCTCTCGGCCTGCGATGCCAAGGTTAGAGGAGCGCTCCCGAGCAGGGCAGGCATCTGCGACTGTGATGACCACCGTTTAGAAAGCCCAAGTCTTTACAACACGTTTCCTGAAACCACACAAACTCAAGAACCGCGTCCACATCACATGAACCGCACTCCTGACGTGAAACGGCAAGCCCCGCACGGCGCCCCCGCCCTCCCACCAGCATTTAAACCTGCTCTGGGGCTCCGCTCGCAGCAACCTGCAGTCCTCCTTCCTCCCACCTGGTAAGAACGGGAAACAGCAAAGCCTATCAGCTCTAGCCTCTGCTCTGCCTTGACTCCCTTGGGCACTGGGGCTCCCGTAATTCTCAACAGAATCATCAAAGGGAGCAGGGCACGGTGCTGAAGATCCCGCTGCCATCACACTGACCGGAGGAGGCCTGGCCGCGCCTCTGGCTAGCTGTGTGACCCTGGACAACCCACTTCTCTGAGCCTCAGGAATCTCACCTGGACAGGAACATAAGGGCCTATGCACCACACAGGGTCGCTCTCAGGATTACAGGCGATAACAGATGTCTTTAGAGCAGGGCCTGGCACAGACTTGTGCTGAGAAAAATGCTAGCTGCAGTATTATCATGAACATTATTGGAACTAAATGTATAAAAAATTAAACCTCCAGGGGCTGGCCCCGTGGCCGAGTGGTTAAGTTCACGCGCTCCGCTGCAGGCGGCCCAGTGTTTCGTTGGTTCGAATCCTGGGCGCGGACATGGCACTGCTCATAAAACCACGCTGAGGCAGCGTCCCACAAGCCACAACTAGAAGGACCCACAACCAAGAATATACAATTATGTACAGGGGGGCTTTGGGGAGAAAAAGGAACAAAAATAAAATCTTTAAAAAATTAAACCTCCAGTCTGACCTCACAGGCGGCCACAGAGAGTGCCCCGAGTCTGAAGGGCAACGCCTGGGACACGAGCTCCGTCCACCCCGGGGGTCCTCAGAGGTGAGACGCGTCTTCCAAGACAACCAGGCCCTGGAATAGGCACCGTGCCTGCGCACCTTCGAGCTACAAAGAAGCTGCAAACTCAGTGCCATCACAGGGGACCAAACAGATGCTCTCAGTCCACTTAGGGAAGATGATCTGAAATGGGAAGAATATTCTAGAGGAGGGCCTCCGTGAAAAGTCTGGGAAGACGGTCACATTTGATGAATCCAACCTTGGGAATAAAACGCATCCAGAAACTGGAAACCAAGAACATGTAGAACGCTGGGAGCCATATCAATGAAGCCTTTACCACTTCATTTTATTTCCTGTGTCCTCAGAGGATGGTCTACATTCTCGTCCTTGAGGGGAAGCCTCGGGACAGGGTGTGTGTGTGGGGGGGGCAGCAGTCACGGAAACAGCAGGCGGGCTACGTCCTGGAGCCGAGCACGGGGTAGGAGATGCTGCCCTAAGGTTTAAGACTAGGAAAGACTGTCAGCTGTCCGACAGCCGGGAGGGTTGACCCCAACCTACGCGTCCATCTCCAAAACCAGGCCAATCTTATCAAGGCTCTGAAAACCTCAAGTGCGGAAGCAATTTAAAAAAAAAAAATACACAATAATGTCATTTGTCTTCACAGACGAACCCAAAACACACTTTCGCTCATAAAACAACAAAGAAACATCCTGTGGTTTCCCAGGTGGACACAGGCGCCTACCGCATGCCAGGCACAGGTCTAAGCCCAGACGTACATCTGCTGACGCCTTTACCACGCACACGTCCTCAGAGGCAGGACGACTTCCCTGCCGTGCTGTGAGGAAGGGGCAGCGTGGGGACCCAAGCCCAGCCGGATGGCTCCGCGTGGGGGACGCGAACCACGCGGCTCTTTCTTAGGGGTCTGGATGAACGGTGAGGGCGGCCGGGCTATGCGGCGGGTGTTGATGACACCGGAATCCAGGCACACCTGTCAGGCGGAATGCAGAGTGCCTGGAAGGTGGGTACTAGTAGGGGACAGCAGCCCTGGCATCTGGGTGCCTCCCACGTCACCAGATTACCCAGGAGGTGACAGCTGCCCACCTAGAACCCCAGAGCGCCAAGGAAGCCTTGGACAGCCTCAACCGCGGGTGGAGGTGGCGGTGTCTCAGAAAAACCTGCACCTGATTTTCTCCAGCCGAAATAAAAACTGTATACACTGCTAATTCTTCCTGAGGAAAGTTGGCTCCAGACTTAGGAATGTGAGTGACGATCTCTGGTCTCTCCCGCGCAATCTTGCATGAGGGATGGCGGAACAAGACCCAGTGCTCCTGGGATGGCAGCCTGGGGATGCACTTGCCTACCGGCTGGTGACAGGAACAACAGGATGGGCAGAGCCAGAGCTGCTCACAGAACCTCCTGGGCGGCAATAAAGTGGGGCAATAACGCCGTGACCAGGCAAACGCCTATGGCCACTGTTTGCAGCTGCACAGTAAAACCCCAAGTCCTTTCATGTGTGTGTGTGGGGGCGTGCCTCACTTCCTCGGCCCCAATTTCCTAAGTGGCAGCCTAGGCGCCCTCTGCCCACCCCCGAGATGCTGCCCGGGCTGGGCGGAAACCAAAACAACGCTCCAGCTTTGCCTGGCCCCAAAATCCAGGGATCAGTCGGGGGACATGCAGGGCCACCTCCGCGGGATGGGGCGCGAGAGGACCTCGGCACAACCCAGTGAGAGCGCTAGGGCCAGGGCTGGGTCCCGCGGGGGACGGAGGGCGAGGAGCGCTGGCCCAGCCCAGGGGTCACGCCAGACACCTCGCCCAGCCCGGGGACGCGCCGCCCTCAGACCCGGGGTCACCCCTCCAGCCCGGCACACTCAGACCCGGGGTCACTTCTCCAGTCTGGGGACCTCAGGCCCGGGGTCATCCCTCCAGTTCGGCGACCACAGACCCGGGGTCATCCCTCCAGTCCGGGGACCTCAGACACGGGGTCGCCCCTCCAGTCCAGGGACCTCAGGCCCGGGGTCATCCCTCCAGTTCGGCGACCACAGACCCGGGGTCATTCCTCCAGTCTGGGGACCTCAGACACGGGGTCGCCCCTCCAGTCCGGGGACCTCAGACCCGGGGTCGCCCCTCCAGTCCGGGGACCTCAGACCCGGGGTCGCCCCTCCAGTCCAGGGACCTCAGGCCCGGGGTCGCCCCCCGCCCGACCGCCGCGCGCACTCACTGTGCTCCCCGGAACAACCTGCCATCCTAGGAATCGCGGACCCTCGGGTGCGGCGACAGCTTGCCAGAATCTGATGCAACCGCCGCCCCGGAAGTCCCTCCCCGCGCCTGGCCCGCCCCTCCCCACCTTCCTGGACACGCCCGGTCGCTAGGCAACCGCCGCGGGGCCCGGGCGTCGAGAGTCCGGGGCATGCTGGGACTTGTAGTTCTTACTGCGCTGCCGCCCGCGCCCGTGTGCATCCCCTGGGACGCGCAGTCCGTGTCCGGCCTGGGGACAAGGCCGTGACGAACCAGGGGGCTGGCTTCGGGGCGGAGTTTGCAGTCTCGCCGCGGGGAGCAAGCATTAAAGACTCAGGCACGGGGGTTAGCACTGCACCAAGTGAGGTGGGGACAAGCCCCAGCCAGGTGGTGAGAGAGGGCCTCCCAGGGACAGAAATGTGCTGGTCAGGCACAGAGGACTTGTTCAAAGGAAGGCTCAGTGGAGGAGATTGGGGATGGGTGGGAAGTGCATTCCAGGCAGAGGGAACCGTCCTGCAAATTACCCCAGCAGAAAGCAAGCCACTGAGAAACTCAGCACGGCGACAGGACACACATGAGCAGAGCCCTGGCGAGAGATGGGGCTTGAGGCTCAGGCTAGGGCCAGTGCTTCTTGAAACATCTGAGAAAGTCAACAATGGCAGAGGCCCACTGAAGGCTTTAGACAGCAGTGGGTGTGAAGAGATTCGTGCTCAGAACCGTCATTCTGACAACTGCTGAGTGGACTTGGAATGGATTCGGGAAAGCAGGACTTGCTAGGAAGCCGTTTTGATCGTCTGTAGGAGAGTAAATGGTGGCCTGGACTAGCAGTGTGAGCAGACAGATCTAGGAGAGCCATGGGAGGCGGTAAACGCGACAAGTGTGGGCATGAGGTAGGCGGTGGGGCTGGGGAAGACACCCTAGTTTCTGGACTGAGAGAGACTGCGTGGTTGTGGCATTCACTTTAACACTGAACCGCAAGTTGAAGATGCTTGGCTGGCACTGGATGGAAAGAAGCAGCAGACAACGTGAACTTATTTGACTAGGAACCCAGGCTGCATATTTGCATATGCAGTGCTAACTCTGGAGGACATTTCCAAACATTTTAATCAAACCAACAAACTTAAATTTTCATTAACCAAAGATTAATCCATAACATCTTAAAAGACATTGGGTTAATTTCTATTGTATTTAGAATTTATGTAAGCGCTTACTTTAAGCCAATTAAACAGAGCTCTTAGTTTTGGCCATATCACCCGGGGGTAAAAATATCACACACACAGACACAGACACACAGACACAGAGCCTTCACATATATTGTTTTAAAAATCACTGCCATCAATCAGGCAACGAGTCAATCGCCAAGAGAGGGCACCCCACTTGGTTGCCGGGGTGATCAGGCCCGGAAACCAGAGGGGGGGCTCCCAGAGGTGGAGCCTTTGATATTTTAAAGATTTGTTTGTTTCTCAATTGCAAAGCTCAAAAGGAACCCAAAAGTGGTCACTGTCACTTTAAGAGAGAGGAAAGAAAAGGTTCCGTTAACTTGAAAATCTCCTGAACCTAGGGCAGCGTCCTACTTGTTCTGCCTTTGGGTTTCCTATATTAGGGGGTGATGGGGGTGTCCCTCTGCATTGCATCCCTTGTACACCTTCCCTATTATGCCTGGCAGTCCTAAGTGCCAGGTGAATTGTCCCAAAGATAAAAGAACAGAGAAAAACAGTGAGGAATTTTTCCGCTGGTCTGGGGGACATTCTACCCAATTGCGTCCTAGAGCCATTCTCCCAAGAAGGGGTCCCCATACTCAACCAAAGGTTAGAGTTTGGTACTTTCCTTGAACTGGAGTCCCGATTGGGACTTTCCCGCAGTTCAGAGAGCAGTCAGGTGCCAGAGAAAGGGATCCCAATCCAGCCTTAGGAAAAGAAACCTGTCACGGGAGTCTTGGAGATTGGCGGCCGTCCTAATGACTTAAGTGGCCGACCCGTGCCCATGTAAAATTTGTCTATTAGAGATAGAATCAGGAAGAAATGGATTAATTCATTTTCCATCACCCTCAGGCTTAAGGTACTGATTCTCTTCAGGCTGAATGCCACAATTTGCCCCATAGAGTAGCCATGGGCAGCAAACGTGGATTCATACAGCTGTCCGAGAAGGTTCCCGATGGAGCAGTGAATTTAGATCCATCCTTGAAAAAGAGAAAGGCACAAGGAAGACTATAACTTCAGCTCACAAGCTGGTGAAGCAAGCAGGCTCAGCAAGCCAAGGAGTCAAAAGAAAGACTTCCTGGGCTCAAGGTCTGGAAGTAGCGCTCCTCTATTCAGAAGATAGTGTGGGGACAGGGCCCATGGGCAGCGAAGAGCTGTAGCATGGCGACAGGGCCCATGGCCAGGACTTAACAGCTCTGTTTATCCCATAAGGAAGTATTCCCAGTTAGACATTTTAAAACATACTTAGGCAAAGTTGATATAACCTCTTTATAAAGAAAATCAGCTTCTAAGTTGTGTTCCCACTATCATCCAGGTTTCCAAATTAACAGTTTCCTCTTCGGGGAACCAGGGACATTGTTCTTGTACGAAATGTAGGAATTTAGCAATCTGTCCCGAAGAGGCTCTTATGTCTCCTTTTTGCAAGCATACATGTTATTATTTCTATACAGAGCCTTCTTTCTTTAGACTCAGTATGGCCCAAAACTTCTCAAAAGTTCTTAATATTTCTTCCTCTTCCTGACCTTATTTCACTCTCCCTTCTAGAGAGGGAGAGGGACTGAAACTTCTCAACTTTTTAAGTTCTGACCTACTACCTGTCTGTCCTTTCCTCACCCTCCCTCTCCAGAGAGGGGCTAAAGGGGGCTCTTCTTTCCAGCCCTGGGTAGGAACCTATCCGTCCTGGGAAGAGGGGAGAACTTACCCGTCGGGTCCCTGTCAGGGCGCCACTTGCCGGGCTCCAGCCTCGGCAGAGTCCAGGTACCCGCGGGAGAGACAGTGTCGGCGAAAGTGTAAGTGCTAGACGTGAGACTCGAAGCAGTTGCAAGCAAGTCCGATTTATTTTGGGGACAGGGTACACTTATATAGAAAAAATCACACGAGGTGGTTTAACTATTGTCGTCATGGGAACAATAGATGAGGGGCAGTGCGTGACTAAAGGTAATAATCAAAGGTGGTTATCTACATCCAGATGTGCAGCAGACATATGGATTGTTTAGGAAGAGGTTACATAGTTTCAGGGTCTTTATGAAGTTAGGAGGGCAGCGAGCATATAATTAACGGACTATAGACCCCACCTCCTTGGGGGCTGCTGTTTGTTCTTTGAGATATGTTTATTGCTCGTTCTGCCTGTTTTTACAAGGCTTCCAGGACTGAGGGAAGACGTTAATCAGTAATAGGCTTTAGAAAGGAGGACAAAAGATTCTGCTTAAAGAATTATGTGCCCTGGAGAAGTGCCTTGCACGATTCTCCTTCCATTGCCAGACCTTGTCACGATACAATGGCAGCTAGATTGGGGGAATGCTTTGCACACATGGGGACATCCCAGTGACTGAGATCAAGGAGTCGGTGGCTGCAGAAAGACAATCACCAAACTCTCCCGGCCTCGGTGCCTGGGAACAGGTTCCAGGGAAGGTGAACCTACCCAGCACAATAAGTGGTTTCCAGGAGACAAGCTCACAGCTCCTTGAAGTCCACTGAGGACCTGCCCACCTCTGCCACGCTGGCCAGAGGCAGCCCGCCTGGACTCCCCTGCCCTGGCAGACCGGCACTCTTGGGTGTATGCGGAACTGACCTCCCCACAGGAAGTGTTATGTAGACTCTATTGAGACGACGTGCACAGCTCCAGTGAGGATTCAGGAAGTTTCTGCCGGGGCCAGCACTGGGTGGGAAGCTCAGCTCCTACCCATTCACGACACTGCTTAAAGGCATGCGCCTGTACCAAAGGAGTGGACTCTAATTTGGGGTCTCTGCATGCTTAGCTAAAATATTTTCAGCAATCAATTTGTTTATAATATTTTCCAAACATGTACGTAACCGCATTTGATGGAGGGCAGCCATGAATTTAAAAATAGAAGCTTCCCTGCCTAACTTGTTTCTCCACGTGATGAGCATCTTATGGTGCCCTTCAATCAAATTTCCTTGATTTTCGTAACGGCACCTCTCGATCTCGTTTCCTTCGAGTCCGATAAGCGTCATAAACATGTTCCATTTACTTGGTGTAACCTCCTGTCCGAAGATATAATAGGTCTGACTGGTGGCTGAAAAACAAAAAGGAAGCATTTGTTTACATTTCTGGAAGGCACGTGGAGCACGCACTGTCACTCTGCTCCCTGGGGGTGCTGTCCCAGAGGCGTCTCCTCCTCTCCCGAGGGCTGCACACCAGCCGGCACGCCCCGGCCCAGGACGTGGGAGGCGCTGTGCAACCCCAGCTGATCCCACAGAAGGGAGCAGGCGCAGAGGCCAGGAGACGGAGGTCAGTCCAGGGCCTGCGCAGCTCGGGTTCTGGTTGCGCCCGTGCCTCATTCATTCCTGGAGCCAACGAGCCCAGCAGGAGGAAGCAAGGATCTGGGAGAGCCCGAAGCCCCGTGGGGATAAGGAATCCGCTGAGGGGCCCCCTGCCCTTCCTGTCTCCCTTGACACCGGGAGAGAGGCTGTAAGGGGGTCGGCCCTGAGAAGACCTCGCGGCATGAGCCAGGGGTGCCGCGCTCAGGATCTGAGACTGGGGCAAGTTTTGTAACCTCTCTGGGTTTCGGATTCTCTTGCTTTTAAACCTGTGAAATGGGGCAGTCTCACCGAGCTGCTGGTGAGGATGAGGTTATAGACAGCAGCTGCTATGCAGCATGTGTTCAACAAATCCTGACTCTCGTACCACTAAAAACACAGCATCGGAGCCAACGAGGGACCCAACAATCGAGGGTGACGCAAGTATTCCTACCACTCACTCATGTGTTTTCTTAAAAACATGAACGTTTTATAAAATAATAGCAACACTCACTCTTTATGAACCCCACAAAACTTCTATTTGACAAACGTCTATTTTCTCTAATTTCCTTAGTGAACGTGAAAAACTGAATTTCAAATCCACAGGGGAGGTCCTTATAGCCTCGAGGAGGCAGATGTTCCCCCATCTCAGAAATAAACACATGAGGCCTTGACGTTCACCGCAAACAGGATTTGAGCCTGAACAGTCAATATAAAAGAAGAATTCAGGTTACTTACTGTTACAGGACGTGTCCTTCAAAAAATACGTTTGTTCATATTCCTGCAGAGAAAAGAGAATAAAATTGTTCCAGGAGAAGAAATCTGTGTGGCCTCTTCGGGGAATTCTACTGCAACAGAACCGGAACGTGCTCTCTGGTAGGAACAGGGGGTCGGGGCCAGCGGCCCTCCGTGCACCTGAGACCCAAGAGTGGGACGGCAAAGTCCGCCCACAGGGAAGTGCCCCCGTGTCCCACCCACAGGTGGCAGAGAGCTCACAGCCCACCTGTGTCCTCTGGGTCATGCTCCGCAGGTCACTGCTGGGGCTCGAGGACCACACTGTCTTGTCACGGCTCACCCTGCTTGGGTGGCCCGGCTGCTCTGAGCGTGCCCCCCGACTCTTTCCCAGACCCAGCCCTCGCTCCCTCCACCCTGGGGGGGGATGGCGGCGGCAGGAATCAGTAAAATGATGTCACCTGGGGGTGACCCGTTCTACTCGGGACAATACTAACGGAGAGGACACCTGTGCACAGAAACGCACCGTGAAGCAATGTTAGTGACTCACACGCAGTTTCCTGGTTCATGGAAACCTCAGTGCGGACCGGACTCCAGACACCCTGGACCGCCCGCCCTTGTAAGGAGCCGCTACTAGCGATGGCTCCCCACGCCCGGGCCTCCTGAGGACGAGCTGAGGCCTTCTCTTTAGTATCAAGCCGCCTGCCCTGGGCGTAAGGCCCAGAACATGACTGCGAGGTTCAAGTCCCAGCTCTGCCTCTTGTCCCCTGCTGGCTCGGCGCCTGCCTCACCCTCCTTGTCCCGTAGCTGCTCAGCCGCAGACTAAGACGGGTTGCATGCTCACGGCACAGTCTGAGAGGGGCACCCAGGGCCCCCGCACCCTGCCTGACCGCCCAGTGCCTCTCACTGACATGGGCAGAGTCCTCACTTGTGCATTTCATGTTCTTGGACTCCTTGGAGAATCCGAGGATCACAGACCACCTCCCTGAAATGCTGCCTAAGGGCACACGAGCCACTCAGCCACAGTCTCCGAGTTCTCCACCTCTAGGCCAGAGTCAGGGGCCCAGGGGCCCACGACCTCCGGCACAGGGGCCCCATGATCTCCTCCCTGACACCCTTCCCCTCAGCTGCACACAACGTCCCATCTTCCCAAGGGGCCCTCCTCCCCAGGGCCACTTAGCAGGTGTCTGCTCATCTTGCCAAACCTTATTCAAGTTGTCACTGCCTCGGGACAGCACCCCTGAAGCCCCACAATGGAGGACAGAGACTGTCACTCTGTGCACAGCTGGACATGGCACCTGCTTCCATCCTGCACGGTCCACCCGGCGGACATGTGTGCTCCCCACTCCCTCCCCAGTCCCTGCAACCCTGTCTTCTCCAGACGCAACGCCTGGCACACAGGAGCGGCTTAGCTGAGGTGTGCGGCGCTGACCCCAGAAATGAGCACGGACTCAGGAGGCTGCGGTCTAACACCGGCCTGTGGGCCTCCTCGACCCTGCCACATTCCAGACCCGGGAGCCGAGCAAGGACACTGAGCCTCAGCGTCCCCTTGGACAGCAGGTTGGGTTGGGGACTGTTAGGGATTGGTTTGTGCTCTCCACATGTGGAAGTCCTCACTCCCATACCTATAAATGTGGCCTCATATGGAAACAGGGTCTTTGCAGATGGTAAAGACGAGGTCATTACGATGGCCCTAATCTGAATAGTGCCCTCATAGAAAGGGGAAATGTGGACACGGGCTCACACACAGGGAGAATGTCATGCGAAGACGAGGGCCGCCATCGGGATGGCGCTACTACAAGCCAAGGACCCCACAGATTGCCAGAAACCACCCACGGCCAGGCGGGAGGCCGGGAGCAGACTGTCCGTCACAGCACTCAGGAGAAACTAGCCCTCCCACACCTTGATCTCGGACTCCCAGCCTCCAGAACTGGGAGACAATGAATTCCTGCTGTTTCAGCCGCCATGACCGTGGTAGGAACTTTGTGGAGGCTGCCCCAGGACACTCATACAAGAATGTGAGAGGAGCACACGTGTTAGCACTGAACACAGGGCCCTGCATACAGTAAGCGCTCAATAAACGTAGGCTTTGTTATTGTTCAGAGCCACCCAGATGTCTCACTCACCTGCTCCAGACTACTGCGGGAGCGGTGCTGTTCCGCCATGCCCTTGGGCCCATGGGCGCCAGGCACACGAATTGCTGGCACCCGCAATTCGATGCTTTCCTCGGGGTCCTCAGACAGCCCTGGGCAGGTCCCGGCCCTGGGGGCCAAAGCCAAACTTTCTTCCTCCAACTCCCGGTCTGTTTCCACACCAGCGGCTGATGGGCCCCGCTCAGGGTCCAGTGGTAGCAATGCGTCATCAGGCTGGCTGCGTGCAGGTGGCTGAAAGACAAAGTCATTTCTTTTGGTGCCAGGAGCCTGCAGGATGGGCCGTTCCCAAGCCACTTTTAGAGAAAGAAATGCCAACAGTCTGATAGGTAAGCCAGAGCTGTGCCATTTGAGAGAATACTGCATGGGGTCAGGTCCCACTCTGCCACCCACTCCCCAGGGGATCCCAACACAAGACTCTTGTGGGTTGAACGGTGGCCCCCAAAGAGAGATGCCCACGTCCTAACCCTGGGACATGTGAACGGGACCTCCCTTGGAAATAGGGTTTTTGCAGGCGAGGTCATACTGGATTAGAGAGGGCCCTAAATCCAATGACGAGTGTCCTTATAAGGATACTGATTAAGCTACAGAGACACATGGGGAGAGCACCCCGTGAAGACGGGGGCAGAGACTCGGGCGAGCGTCTACAAGCCAAAGAATGCTGAGGATCGCTGGCAACCGAGGAGAGAGGCGGGGCAGAGCCCCCTGCCCACCGCGAGCCTCAGGGAGCCAACCCCACCGACACCTTGATTTCGGACGGCGGGCCTCCAGAACTGGCAGACAGTAAGTTCCTTACTGTTTCAAGCCACCCGGTTGGTGACAATTTGTTTAGATAGCTTTAGGAAACTAAGACAAAGCCCTTTGCCCCTGTGTGCCTCAGTTTCCACTCAGTGGCCTAGACCAGCGGAATTTAAATCTTCTTTCAGCACAGACATTCTGGGGCTGTGACAAGGTGGAGGCAGACAGCACCGCACAGCGGGCTGCAGACCAGGTGGGAAGGCCTGGGGCTGCCTTGCGCCCGCCCCTGGGATGTCTCCTGAGGCCCCACTGCCTTCAAGGACTGAAGCTACCATTAGGCGAAGCCCTGGGTGATACTTACAGGGCTGCCGGGCTCCTCCGATTCACCTGAAAACAAAGAAGACAGAAATGAAAATAACTGATACTCAACAGGACAATGACTTCCACGGGGGAGATGAAATGCCTTGAATTCACAACAAAGAGGACTTACCTTTCAAGCAACCGACCACCCGCCGGCGAATCTGGACACCTGGAAGACACAGGAGGTGAGGTGACACGGAGCGCTCGCCAGTCCCCGGGGCCCGGCCGGAGCCCTCCTCCCTCGAGCAACTGCCCCTGGCTGAAGTCTCCCCACCCTCCTGGCGCAGTGCACCCCAGACAGCCAGTCTGCAGCTGGCTGGAATCTCAGCTGACCCGAGATTCGGGGCGTAAGGCCCCTGGGTCAGGGAGCACAGCGCACGGCTCCCCGCCCCAGAGCGCCAAGCTCAGGCGCCCGAGCGGCCCCTTGAGTTACAAAGTGCGCATAGCTGTGTTTTAAATGAAAACCTGTCAAGAACCTTGCTCCACCAGGGCCCACTTCTGAGCTCCTGACACAGTGGCTGATCTATTTTACTCCAGGATTCATCTAACTCTAATTTACCTTTTTTCTGGTAAACGACAATGATGACGATGATGAAGAGGACAACCACAACCACCACCGCCACCGCCACCGCCACCGCCACCGCAATGAAGGGCTCACTCGAGTTTCCGTTTCCTGGAAGGAGGCAAAGGAGAGGATGCTGTAGCAGGGCTCAGCACGCCTTCCTCATCCTACTGAGCAGAAAGAAAGTCTCTGCTCCTGGGAGCGACGGCAGTGGTCGTGACTCCCCAGGCCCCAAAGTGCTCTCCCGCTGATCACTGAGTAGTGACCACACAGCCACAGGGCCCGCAGAGCCTAAACGAGTTACCTTCGTGGCAAAGGTGTGCCGAGCCACCTTGAAGAAATGGAATCAGCCTCTCATCTGGCTCCTGGTTAGTTTCTACGGCACAAACTGTATCCCGTGTGGCACTGCAGGGCTGAAGGACTGAACCTTGACACCTGAAAGGAAAGAGAGAAGAAACTCTGGGGGCCGGCCTGGCGGCATAGTGGTTAGATTCGCGCACTCCACTTTGGTGGTCTGGGGTTCATCAGTTCGGATCCTGGCGCTACACCGCTCATCAAGCCATGCTGTGGCGGCATCACATAGAGGAACTAGAAGGACTTACAACTAGGATGGACAACTATGTACTGGGGCTTTGGGGAGGAAAAACAAAAGAGAGAGGAAGACTGGCAACAGATGTTACCTCAGGGCCAATCTTCCTCGCCAAAAAAAAAAACGAAAAAAAGGAACGAAAGAAAGAAATGGATCATTGCTTCCCCCACCCATTGGGCCCAAAGCATCCTTCTCATACCCACAGGCAAGGGGTTAGAAGGGACCAGCCCCAGCTCCCAGGATGGCCCGCCAGGCTGCAGGCAATCATTGTCTGCCATTTCCCTGGCAACGTGGCCCAAATTGGTTCAGTGAGAGTAAAGCTTGGGAATTCTCTGTGATATATGCAGGAACAGCAGCCCACCCTCTCTGTTCCTGGATAGAGCTGTGTGCAGCTATGAGGAATGAACCAGTTGTAGCTGTATCTCTACCAAGAGGGAAGTGAGCCCAAAGAGGAAGCCCATGGAGAAGGGGACAGGGAAGCAAGAGCAGAGAAGCCAGAGGCCTGATCAAACCAGGCCTAAAGGCAGTCCTGACTTGGAATCTGTCAGTACACAAGCCAGCGGTTCAACACAGTCTGAGTGGTATTTAAGAATCTACCTGTGCCTCAGAAATGTGAGCTATTTTGCACGTGGCTTTACCACTGCAAACGTCTCCCCAAAAAGTCCTCCCGAAACCCACCCCACCCGGGACCTCAGAAGGAAACCTTATGAGGAAACAGGGTCTTCGTAGATATCATTGAGAGAGGTCATACTGCATTAGGGTGGGCTGTAATCCACGACTGCTCTCCCAAGAGGGAAATCTGCACGCAGATAGAGAGAAAGCCCCGCGAAGATGCAGCAACACGAACACGCAGGGGAGAACCCCGTGAAGGCAGAAGCAGAGGCCGCCACAGTGAGTCCACAGCGGAGGAGCGCTGGCAGCACCCAGAGCTGGAAGAGACGAGGAAGGAGCCTCCCCAGATCCTGCAGAGGGAGGGCGCCCTGCCGACACCACCATTCGGACTGCTTGTCTCTGGAACTGTGAACGAACACATTTCTGCTGTTTGTTTTAAAGCCCCTAGTGTGGTGCCTTCTTCTAGCAGCGCCAGGACGCTACTGCCGTCCTCTCTGCCCAGTGCCGCCCCCTCACCCCCACTCCTCACCGACAGCTCACCGCATACGTGTCCTGACCCTCTGTCTGCACCCCTGCTGGGGGCTGAGGGCCTGCAATGCCACCTGCCAGACGTAGTGGGGCTCAGAACCATTCGTGAGTGAATGAATGAATGAATGAACCAACGAGCACTGACTCAAGGCCGGCCACCAGGGGGAAACATCCAGGCGACGTCACATTTAATCTGCAGGGCACCTGTATGTGGTAAGTGCTACCACTGGCCCCATTTTACAGATGGGGAAACTGAGGCTCTGGGGGGTGGCAGATAACTAAATGACCCAAAACCAAGATGACGGTCAATGGAGGAGTGGGGGTCCCATCCCAGGCCTGTCTGGTCTGCCTGCGCCCCCGAGGCCCGAACCTTGTGCAGCGGAAACACTTCTCAGCGCAGTCCGGGGAGTCGCAGTAGAAGCTGCCCTGCTGGCACTGGCACTGCCGGTCGCTGACCCGCGAGCAGTTCGTCACCACCTCCTGATCTGCGAGAGGGAGGGCTGAGGGTCAGTCACCCGGGGCCACGTCCAGCTGCTGGGTGGCAGCCACAGAATCTGCACTCAGCCTCCCTTCTCAAACAGGGACGGAGAGGAGGGAACAGCCAGACCGTGTCCCCCGCCATCAGGGTGTCCACGGAGAGGCTGATGGGTGACCCCAAGACCTGGGGGCTTCGCAGAGACCAGTGGGTACCCCTGAAATGTGGGGTGGGGGCCAGATGCAACCCCTCTGACATATCCCCCTATTTTTCTCTTCATCTCATTTGCCCCACAAAGGACTCCCCTCCTGCGTGCTCGTGCGAGGAACACATCAGAGCGAGCAGTGGACAGCAGAGAAGCCCTGACCCCCGGCCGCCAGCAACGCCTCTGCGGTCACGCCGACGCCGCCCTGCCAGAGTGCTCGTCCACACCCGCCAGACAGGCGCAGGGCGAGACCCGCCGAACGCTGAATCTGTGCTGGGGCGAACAGCTTCCCAAAGGGGGGCGTGCTTAAGGAGGCCTGTGCCGACCCCCCACATTTTCTCCTCTAACACCCTGAAAGAACTTGACGTGAGCTATAAATGAAAACAAAACGGGACCGCATCCCGAGCCTGACACCCAGCCCACCACCACGCGCCTGAGGCCCTGTCCCCACACCCCTACTTCAGCCCTCTAATCCCATCACATTCTCGTCGTCCTTGAACCCGGTGTTTGACACGACACGGGCATCAGCGGGATCCTGCTGCGCACCCCAGCCCGGGGCGGCTTCTGCTCACTTGTATTGTTTCAGCCCATTCTCGGGGCGGGCACTAAGCACAGCGTGAATTCCCACGATCGTTTACACCCACTGCGCTGTCAACCGGCGGTTGGGGTGCTTCTGCCTTCACGTTATTACAAACTCTTCCCCATCTCGCTCGGCACACACGGCAAGAGCTTGTCCAGGTCTAGACGGAGACGTGGAGCGGCTGGGCCCCGGCTGGGGCACATTTTCAACTTCAGTAACTATGCGAAAATTGTTTCCGAAAGTGGCTGTACCCATTTCCTACTTCTTCCATTAGTTTTTGAGTTCTCATTGTTCCATGTCCCCATGAACACTTGGCATCAACCTTTTAAATCTGTCAGTCTAGTAGATAAAAAATAGAGTCCCTTTTTATTTACTCCAGGCCTTTTTCTATGCTTCCTGATCATTTCTCTTTCATCTTCCCTGTAATGTCCTTGTCTCTTCCCACTTAATTTTTTTTCAATCCGGGCCAGCTTGGGTGACCTAGTGGTTAAGTTCAGCGAGCTCTGCTTCAGCAGCCTGGGTTCAGTTCCCGGGTGGGGACCCACACCACTCGTCTATCAGTGGCCATGCTGTTGTGGAGGCTCACAAGCAAAAAGAAGAGGATTTGCAACAGATGTTAGCTCTGGGTGAATCTTCCTCAGGAAGAAAAAAAAAAAATTTCAAACCTTATTATTGATTTATACGCAAGCTTTTTTTGTTCTGGATACTAATTTTGCATGAGTTGTATGTATCATAAATATATTCTCCCAATTCACGGCTTCACTTTTCCAATTTGGGTGTCTTTTGATGAACAGAACTCTGTCATTTTAATGTAGTCACATTTATCAATCTTTTATGTTTTTCTTTTAACAAACATCTTTTCACTGTCCTCAAGTCATAAATACTCTTTCTTTTTTTCTTTTTTTGAGGAAGATGAGCCCTGAGCTAACTGCTGCCAATCCTCCTCTTTTTGCTGAGGAAGACTGGCCCTGAGCTAACATGTGTGGCCATCTTCCTGTACTTTATATGTGGGATGCCTAGCACAGCATGGCTTGCCAAGCAGGTGCCATGTCCGCACCTGGGATCCGAACTGGCAAACCCTGGGCCGCTAACGCGGAACGTGTGCACTTAACTGGTATACCACCTAGCCGGCCCCATATCTTTTCTTCTTAAAGTTTTACTTTTCACCTATGGATTTTGATGCACCAGGAATTGATTTTTGTGGCTGGCGAGAGGTAGGGACAGTAGAAACTTGTGTCCTGCAGGGGATCTCTTCCTACGTGGACAATTCGTGATCTGTCCTAGCATCGCTTGAGGGTCCCACCTTCCTCCTGTGAAGCGACAGGTCACAGCACCACACTGCACTCCACATCCACAGGGCTATTTGCACGGGTCCCATGGTCTACCCCTACGGGAACACCACGCTGTCTGTAACTGTCTCCATACAGTCTTGCTACCTGGGACAGCCAGCATGCCATCTTCTCTGCGTTCTCCAGCAGTCTTTTGGGAGTTGTCAGCTTATCAGGTTTCGTGCAAAGTCCTGTAGGGACTTTCTTCTAATGCAAGTTGTCTGTATCGCAGGTGGACAGCATGACGAGTGGACGGTCCCGTGGGGAATTTCACAGGGAACGCACTGATCGGAGAATCATTCCACGCAGGACTGACATCGTACTCACGATCATCTTGTCTCGCTCTGCATGTTTAGAGTTTCTTAAATGCTGCTTGTTCACATAAATGTTCACACATCCTTTGCTGCATTTATTCCAAAGTATCTTATATTTTTTGTTTTTGTTAATACAAATGGTATATTTTTTTAAAGTTACATTTTTAAAACAAGTTTGGGGATATAGAGAGATTTAGATGAACTTCCGTATATTATTCTGGTACGTGGCAACTCTGAGAGCCTGCTCACACGGAGATGGCCCCTTTCACCATCTACACGGATCATCATATAAAACACACCACGGCTGAGGGCTACGGTGGCAGCTCAGTTGCTGTTGTCATCTGTCATCATGCCCTTTGGGGCGGTTTCTACAAGCCGGTTGAAGGGCCCCTATTTGAAAACAAAAAGACTCCCGGAGCCTGACTGCAGTCCACTTACCCTCCCGGCACTGGGCACACGGCAGGCAGCTGGTCATCCCCGTGGGGTGGGCAGTGAAGGTTCCAGGCTCACATTCCCTGCACTGCCCTTTGCTGTGGTTCACCGTGCAGTGCTCGCTGACGTAGGACCCTGCGGGGGGCGGGGGGCACAGAGGGGAGGTGAGGGCCCAGGGCAGTCCTGCTCCAGCACAGACCTGATCTGGGCCCTGAGGCCTCTGCTCGAGGAGGCCCCGAGGCGCCTGGGCGCTGGGCCCTCTGCATAGTACCCACCCTCGAATCCTATCTCCTCGGAACACTCTGCGACTGGTAGTGGGCTGCGCGTCCCAGGAACTGGGGACCTGATCGCCCCTCGGCTTTGATGGGTGTCCTGCAGCATGTGTAAGCGGACTGTTTTGAGCACTGATGCTGGACCCGTCTGAGAGCCTGCGAACACCTCCATCCTGCCTCCACCCCAGGCTCCTGACAACCTGCGCAGACTCAGCAGCTCACGGCCCCATCCACAGAGGCAGCTGACCCAGTCCTAGGGACACCCTCCTGGCCCAGCGCTCGCCACATGCAAAGACTGGAGCTGAGCCAAATCATGGCCTCCCTGGGAAGAGGCCATAACAGCACCCACTCTGCACGTGTGCCGGGAGTCCACGGATTTCACGTGGGGCCAACGATGTTCACTCTTTCCCAGATGTGGTGCGTGCATGTGCATATAGGTGTGCGTGTGCATGTAGTTTATGTACGGGTATGTGTGCTCCCTGAAGCGGCAGCCCCATGGAAGCACAGGTTCACGGACAAAATGAGGCATGCGTGTGACTGGGGGGTATGGATGGCGATGGGTGTAGGGACGGAGTGGGCCTTTTCAAAGAGGAGACCCATGAAGGTCATTTCATTGCTACTGTGTGCACACCTGTCCACGTGTGCAGATGGGGTGTGGGCGGTTGGGTGGTGGGCCCCTGACCAGGTTCCCCCTGAAGGCCCAGGTGCTGTGGCCATGACTGGCCATGAGGAGCTGAGGACTGGGGGGTGGGGGGAGCAGGCCCTGAGAGCTGCAGCTCATCGTTGGCTTCACGGGGGAATTCCGATTTCACAGCTTCCTTGTGAGGAGGGATAAACCTCCAGGGATCAGCTGTGGGCGAGGAAGTGGCCATGGCCTCTCTGCAGGGAGCTTCCCTTCCCTGGGAGTCCACCACCACCCCCGACAGGAGGGCAGGTGGGAGTGTCCAGCCTGGGCCTGCACCCCCACTTCCGTCCTCCAAGCCCTGCAGAACTCACTCACCCACCTCAGAACAAGCACACAAACCCCTCTGCTCCAACGACAGCCCCAAAGAGGGGAGCAGGGTGGCCTGAGCAGGTAAACAGCGGTGAGTGGCTGCCCAGGGGAGGCCCACGTACCCCGAGCCAGCCAGGCTCTCCCCACACAGGGCAGCCTCCAGCTCTGCTCAAAGGACCTGCAGCCTCCCTCCCCTCAGGACAGGAGGTCTGCCTCCGAAAGTTCTGGAAGACATCCAGGGGCTTACCAGCTGGGCAGAGTTTGCAGCACAGGTGGAGACCCTCAGCCTCATACTCATCCGGGCCGCACTCGGTCACACTGGGTGCTGTGGTCACCTTCAATCACAAAGGGGAGACTGGCGTTACCAAGAGATGCCTCTGCTCCCAAGGGAACGGTCCACGTCCTCGACACGCCGCCCGCCACTTGGGAGCACTGCTCTGCTCGCGGGGGTGCGCTTCACTGGAGGAGCACACACTGGGACCCTTTTCTTAGATAAGTCTTTGTGCTATCTGACTTCTTTTATTTTTTGAAGGATATTGTGGGGTTTTTTCAATTGGGCTAAAATTCACGTAACTTGAAAGTAACCATTTGAAAGTGTACAATACAGTGGCATTTAGTGCATTCACACTGTTGTGCCACTATTTGGTCTATTTTGGTAACTTTCTAAGTCTGAAGTTATTTCAAAATGAAACTTTAAAAATTAAAAACTTAAAAACAAAAAGCCCCAGACCAGAGAAATGCAGCTTTTGTCTCGGGAACTCTGCCCGGTCAAGATAACGGAGGCTGTGTCCTCCAACCAGGCAAGGCTCACCGTCACAGCCCACTGCCGGTCCCCGGCAAGCGGGAAACACTACAGGAAGTCGTGTCCTCTCCTCTGGCCACGCAGGGCCTGGCCCTCCCCGGCAGGGCTGCCCACCTCAACGCCACATCAAGCCTTCTCTGCCCAGCGCCTCCCATCCTGCCACCGCTCCTCCTGCTGAAAACACCCTGCTCCGCCTCCTCACAGCGACCAAGAGCGAGTTTGGGAGGGTCAGCGGCTGTTTCGGCTTCACCAGGGTTGGCTGCCCCCTAGTGTGTGCCCCCCATTCCTGCATCCCCTGACCTCTCAGGCCCAGGACGAGGCAAAATGGAAGGGCTCCCAAAACACTCAGCAATGAAGAGAAATACTATTTCATGCAATATTTTAAAAAATCAGATTGGCAAACGGCTGCCGGCCTTTGTACATAAAGTTTTTTTGGAACCGGAGTTGGGATACCAGGATGCGAAGCAGCTGAGCGGGGTCAGGGTCGCATTCTGTCTCTATTTAAAATGATTTGATTTTTTTGCATGATTTGTTCATGTTTTAAAAACGCCGCATCAAACGAAACCACATCACTCATCTGTCAATAGCCTTTGCCATGGTGGCGGCTCACACAGAAAAACTAAAAGGACCAACAACTGCACACAACTACGTTCTGGGGCTTTGGCGGGAGAAAAACGAAAAGAAATTTAAAAAAAAAAAAAAGACTGTCAACAGATGTTAGCTTAGGAGAAATCTTCCCCTGAAGAAAAAAAGGAGGCCAGTCCCAGGGCTGAGCGGTTAAGTTTGTGCGCTCCGCTTCGGCGGCCCAGGGTTTCACCAGTTTGGATCCTGGGCACGGACCTAGCACTGCTCATTAAGCCATGTGGAGGCAGCGTCCCACACAGCAGGACTAGAACCTTCAACTGGAATAGACAACTATGTACTAGGGGACTTTGTGGAGAAGGAGAAAAAAAACCTTGGCACAGATGTTAGTTCAGGGCCAATCTTGGGAAAAAAAATACTACATCAAAATATCTATCCTGTTTTCTGAGTGTTTTTGATGCCCCTGTAAGTTTCACACCTGACACGTGTACCTCACTCACACCTTCCTCTGGCCCCTCCCTTGCAGATGACCAAGGGGTTCCCATTTTCCTGGCCATGGGCCACCTCCCACTGGCAATGTCCCTACCCGCCTGGGGCTTGCCTTGGCCACGGGTCCCTCTCCTCACTCCAGTATTCCCCGTCCCCCTCTGCTGTCCCCCTGGCTCCTTCTACCAACTCCTCAGGCTGAAAAATCCCCTCCAGTGCCTTCACTCCTGTCCCAGGAAACTCCTAAAGAATCGCCCACTGGGGGCTGGCACAGCAGCGCAGTGGTTAAGTGCGCACGTTCTGCTTCAGCAGCCCGGGTTCGCCGGTTCGGATCCTGGGTGCGGACATGGCACCGCTTGGCAAGCCATGCTGTGGTAGGCGTCCCACGGATAAAGTAGAGGAAGATAGGCATGGATGTTAGCTCAGGGCCAGTCTTCCTCAGTAAAAAGAGGAGGATGGGCAGCAGTGAACTCAAGGTTAATCCTCCTCAAAAAAAAAAAAAAAAAAAGAATCGCCCACTGCACACCCGACGCCCTGTGGGAACCACAACCAACACATTCGTGGACCCACAAAAGGCCTTAAATGAGCAGTACATGCCACCAACCTGAAGTGAGCCGTCTGCTTCCCTGGGCAACCCTTCCTCACAGGAAGGAGGGTGCTGGGAGAGCCTGCAGGAGGCTGAGAAAGACTTGGGAATGAACCCCAGTGCCCTGCTCTCCAAAACGCTCCTCGTTTCCGCCCAGCGGCATGGCCCCGCCCCCAACGCGCGCCGTCGCCACCCCCCCACCCCCCCCCCCCGCCCCGGGCCCCTGCCGTACGCGAACCACGGATCCCTCACAGGCCAGACCTCTCCCGGCGACCCGACCTCTCCCCGCGCCCCGGCCTCCCATCGGGCCCCGGCCTCTCCTCCTCTCTCCCCGCGCCCGGCGCCCCGGCCTCCCATCGGGCCCCGGCCTCTCCTCCTCTCTCCCCGCGCCCGGCGCCCCGGCCTCCCATCGGGCCCCGGCCTCTCCTCCTCTCTCCCCGCGCCCGGCGCCCCGGCCTCCCATCGCGCCCCGGCCTCTCCTCCTCTCTCCCCGCGCCCCGGCCTCTCCTCCTCTCTCCCCGCACCCCGCGCCCCGGCCTCCCATCGCGCCCCGGCCTCTCGTCCTCTCTCCCGGGCCCGGGTCCGCGGACCAGTAGCAGCCGCCCGTGCTGTAGCGGCCGGTCACCGCGACCAAGCCCCACTCACCCGTCCCAGAAGCAGCAGCAGCAGCAGCAGCCCGCACGGCGACATAACTCCACCGACTAAAAAGACAAACGGCGACCGGCAAGAGAGGAACTGCCGCACGGTCGGGCCACGGCTCACGAATTTATAGGGCCGGGACGCCGGCTCCCCGCCTCACATCCTGCGCCGGCCCAGCGGGTAACTCCTCCCGCACGGGAACTGTAAGCCCCGTCCCCGCCCCGCGGGGAGGAGCATGCGCACACCCAGTGGGAAGCCCCGCCCCGCTCGCCCAGGCTTCGAACAGCCGGCTGGAAGCCGCGCCGTCCCCGCCCGCCAGGGGAGCATGCGCACAGCCAGCGGCAAGCCCCTCCCCGCCGAGCGTGCGCACAACATCGGCAATCCCCGCCCCCGCCCCGCCACTCCACTGGCGGGTGGAGCGACTCGTGGTGACGCGAGCGAGGGTAGCAGGTGGGCGGTGCCCCTGAGCTCCTCAATTCCTGAAAGTGATGTGTAATTGGCTAAAATAAATCGTCCTCAGAGCTGGAGGAACCACACACGCCAACAGGGGAGCCCTGTGTTAGCTTGCTGAGCTTCCCCAATGAAGTATCGCAGACCGAGTGGTTTAAAGAAGAGAAAGTTCTCGTCTCACAGTCCCGGGGCTGCAGGTCCGAGCCCAGGGGCGGGCACGGCGGGCTCCTTCGGAGGGCTGGGAGGGAGAACCTGTTCCCCGTCTCCCCCCACTCCCCGGCTTCTGGTGGGTGCCAGCGAACTTCCTTTGCTTCCTTGGCTTGGAGAAGCGTCGCCCCATCTCTCCCTCCATCTCCACGTGTTCTCCCGCTGTGCGTGTCGGTGTCCAAAATTCCCCTTTTTATAAGGACACCGGTCACATTGGATTAGGGTCCACCCTAGTCCGTTAGGACCTTGTCTTTAAACACATCTGCAAATAGGATAATTACATCCTATTTCCAAATGAGGCCACCTTGTGAGGTATGGGGGTTAGGACCTCAACATATACATTTGGGGGGGCGCACAATTCATCCCATAACGTGAGATGTCTGGTCCAGAGTCATCTAATGACACTACTGGAAGTAGCTACTACAGCAGGGGAGGAAGGTAAGAATGAACGAGCCCTGAAGGAGCATCCTGTTCTTTAGTCAAACAAGTTCCCAACTTTCTGCCGCGGGCTGCTCTGAGAGCTTTGCATGTGTCGTCTGAATCCTCCACGTTGAGGGCTGTTGGTTAAACTGTCAACGAACTAATGCCTGAAGCCGCCATGCAGTGTAGACGTTTGTGCAGTTGCTGGGGACTCAGGAGGTGAAACAGGCGGATTAAGAAAGGGATTCAGGAGGAGGAGCTCCTGGTGTTGGCCAGGCTGGAGCTGAGAGTCAGCCCCTCCTGCTCCTCCGAATCACAGATCCGTCCCCTGGGGGGCAGATAGTGCTTCCACAATGACAGGTCTTTGATGGTGCTGGTTTCCCAAGGAGTGGATTATGAGGATCCTGGTAGGACCCGCTGTGGCAAAGCTGTTTCTCGTTCCACTCGAGATCCAAAAGGATTGAAAGCAGGATCCTGAAGAGATGGTTGCACACCCATGTTCCTAGCAGCATTATTCACAAGAGCTAAAAGGTAGAAGGAACCCAAGTGTCCATCAGCAGATGAATGGATACACAAACTGTGGTCTATGCCTATGATGGAATAGAAGTCAGCCTTAAAACGGAAGGAAATTCTGATACTTGCTACCACTTGTAGATGAACCTGGAGGGTGTTATGCTAAGTGAAATAAGCCTGACACAAAAGAACAAATATTGTGTGGTCCCGCTTGTATGCAGTCCCTAGGGCAGTCAAAGTCACACACAGAAAGTAGGACGGTGGGTGCCAGGGACTGAGGGGGTGGGGGGATGGAGAGTTAGTGTTTAATGGGGACAGAGTTTCTGTTGGGTGAGATGGAAAGTTCTGGAAATGGATGGTGGTGATGGTTGCACAATACTGTTAATACACTTAATGCCACTGAGCTGTAAACACTTAAAGATGGTTAAGATGGAAAATTTTATGTGATGTGTATTTTACCAAAATGAAAAACCATAAAGAAAGAAATGCGCAAACAACCCATTGTGGCAGTATGGTATTCAGCTCTTCCGTTTTCACCACCCATCCTTGAGGGACAGAAGGGAGACAAATTGGCCTCCCTGTAGTGTCAGTTTCAGGAGTCAGGTCGGCCTGGCTCACCAGGGTCACTCAGTAGGTGCTTGCTGGATGCTGGTCATTATGCCGTTGGTGCCACTCAGAGGCTGAGAAGAGAGCTTTCACTAAGGCGTAAGTCAGCTTTCCCTTTGTCCAAATAAATGTTTTCTTCCTGGCATGCGCATTCAACTACACACATACATTCACTTATGCTTTCGCAAGACTCACACCACTGGCTGGCTCACTCAGGTGAATCAGCTGCGTCCTCCGCGAATCTCACTACTGAATTCAATCGTCGCCCAGTTCCCGTTGGGTTTCTCTCTCCTCTCCTCTTTCTGAAGAATACAAGAGTACTGCTCCCCAGCTGCTTCAAAGGCCAGACATCAGCCAGCGCAATCAGGCAAGAAGGAAAGAACAGGTGTCCAAATTAGAAAGGGGGAAGTAAAATCTCTGTTTGCGGATGACATTATCTTACACGGACAAAACCCCAGAGATGCCACCAAATGAACAACCTCCTGTTGGAACTAATAAACGAAATGAGGCCCGAAGCCTGATCCTGAAGAATCTCTTCTCAGACCCCATGATCGCAGAGGCAGCTTGACAGCGGCTCCCAGGCACCATTCGTGGCAGCGTTTCCTAGAGCTCTTAATCGAGGGGCCATCACACCCCGAAACGAAGCCTCCGGCGCAGCCCACTGAGGAGGCGTCCTGGCGGGGACCCGCGGATGGACTTGCCATCCTGCCCGGGCCAGGCGCCTGCAGGAGCGCGCCGAGGCGCCCAGGTGGGTCACTGGACAGAGGCAGGCAGGTCAAGACTGGGAGCACAGAGGGAGCGGGGACTGGGTCGGGATCAGCCCCAGGCAGAGTGACTCACCCAGGGCCACTCAGGGCAGGGGTGCCGCCTCTCCGGGAGGCCGCTGCACCGTGCCCCAAGAGCACGCTGCTGCCTTTAAGGATCAAAGCCAGCTGTAAGCAATGAAAGCATTGCTTATCCTGAAGAAGTACCCCCTCTCCCCCCTGTGCCGGTTTCAGGGGACGACTCCTTGTGGAGGCAGACAAAATCAGAGTGATTCTGATGTTTCTCACTCTGAAAGTCAGATTTTGGTCGACTGGAACTCAGCCCCGGATGTGTGTAACCGCGGTAGCAACCGTGGTTTTTCGGTTCCAGTGCAGAAAATGTTAGCGCTCATTCCATCCAGGTAAAACGAAGGGTCAAACGGAAGCTTCAGATTTGACAAAACAATTTTCCCAACTCTTGGGGGGAAAGAAAATCTAAAAAAAGTCCTTCAAACTCAATCTTATTGCCCTCCAATAGAAGAATTTGGATTCTCTTGGTTTTGACATTTTCTGATAAGTCTTAGAAAAGATGTGTTGGTGCATTGGGTTAGAGATACTTAAGAAAAAGTCCTAGATACAGAATGGAAGTCAATAAAAATTAGATTAGATCTATCAAAATGAAAACACATATTCACGCAAAAACTTGTACCCAAATGTCAACATCATCTTTATTCACAATAGTCAAAAAGTGGATACAGCCCAAATGTCTATCACCTGACAAATGGGTAAATAAAATGTGGTATATATACACTATAAATGCAACAAAAAGGAGTGAAGCACGGATCCACTACCGTGTGCGTAAACCACAAAAACCTCATTCTAAGTGAAAGAATCCAGACACAAAAGGCCACCTTTTTAAATTGTATGGTTCCATCTATATGAAATGTGCAGAATAGGCAAATCCATACAGACGAAAAGTGGATTGGTGTTTTACAGGAGCCAGGAGTGAGTGATGAGGGGAGCGGATTGGAGGAATGAGGAGTGACAGCTTCATGGGTGTGTGGTTTCTTTTGGGCGGTGATGATAATGTTTTGAAACTAGATAGTGGCGACGGTGGCACAACCTTGTGAGTGAACTAAAAGCCACTGAATCATTCACAGCTTAAATCGGTTGTAGGAGGAAGCTGTTTCTGCAGGAAACCACTGGAACCAAGGGCCTCCCCCCCAGTGGAGAGAGGGGCCCTCAGGACACAGCTGCACCAGGGTGCAGCGCCCGGTGCATGGTGCTGCCTCAGCACCTGGCACCTGCCACAGGGCGTGTCTTGAACCACATCAGGCCAGGGCAGCCAGGGAGGTCTTTTCCAGGAAAAGAATTCAGCCTCAGGAAGCTCCCATCCCATCTGAAGGCCCAGATCAAGAGGAAGAGGCGGGAGGAGTGGATCAGCTCAGGGACGCTGGGGACGCCTGTGAGGTGATGAGGGACGGTGGGGACCAGCGCGCAGCGATGCGGGTCCGATGGGGACGAGTGCAATGCGGTGAGGGACGTTGGGGACGGGTGCAATGCGGTGAGGGACAGTGGGGACCAGCGCGCAGCGATGTGGGTCCGATGGGGACGAGTGCAATGCGGTGAGGGACGTTGGGGACGAGTGCAATGCGGTGAGGGACGTTGGGGACGAGTGCAATGCGGTGAGGGACGTTGGGGACGAGTGCGACGCGATGAGGGACGATGGGGACCAGCACGATGCGGTGAGGGACGATGGGGAAGAGTGGGATGATATGGGGGACGATGGGGACTAGTGCGATGCGATGAGGGAAGATGGGGACGGCGAGATGCAGGGAGTCTGTGAGGGAGAATGCGGAACGAGAGGCGTTGAGGCGATGGGGGACGATGGGGAGGAGCGCTGCGTGATGAGGGAAGATGGGGACGAGCGCGATGCGGTGAGGGACGATGAGAACAAGTGTGATTTGAAGAGGGACGATGGGGACGCCTCCGAAGCGATGAGGCTGTGCCTCCAGATGAGTCACGATGTGGAGAAGCGGGAGGCGGGAGTCTGTGAGGGACGCTGCGGAAGGAGCGCAAGGAGGAGATGGGGAAGAGCGCGATGCGGTGAGGGACGATGGGGACAAGTGCGATGCGATACGGGACAAGGGGACGAGTCCGATGCGACCCGGGACGATGGGGGCGAACGGATGCGATGAGGGACAATGGGGACGTGTGCGATGCGGTGAGGGACGATGAAGAGGATCGCGATGCGATGGGGGACGATGGGTACTAGTGCGATCCTACGATGGAGGTTTGGGACGCCTGCAATGGGATGAGGCTGTGAGGCCATGAGTCACGCTGGGGAGGAGCGGGAGGCGGGGAATCTGTGAGGGACGATGCGGAAGGAGCACGAGGTGGTGAGGCGATGGGGGACGATGGGGAGGAGTGCGACGCGGTGAGGGACGATGGAGACGACTGCAAAGCGATGGGGACAATGGGGACAAGTGTGACTCGAAGAGGGACGATGGGGAGGCCTGCGAAGCGATGAGGCTGTGCCTATACGAGTGAAGATGGGGAGAAGAGGGAGGCGGGGAGTTTGTGAGGGACGATGCGGAAGGAGCGCCAGGCGCTGAGGCGATGGGGGACGATGGGGACGAGAGCGATGCGATGGGGGACGATGGGGACGAGAGCGATGCGATGGGGGACGGTGGGGACAAGTGCGATCCTAGGATGGAGGTTTGGGACGCCTGCAGTGGGATGAGGCTGTGAGGCGATGAGTCACGCTGGGGAGGAGCGGGAGGCGGGGAGTCTGTGGGGGAGGATGCGGAAGGAGCGCGAGGCGGTGAGGCGATGGGGGACGATGGGGACCAGCGCGATGCCTTGGGGGACGATGGGGACGAGTGGGATGCTGTGAGGGACCATGGGGAAGAGCGCGATTCTTTGAGGGACGATGGGGACGAGTGTGATGGATGAGACTGGGAGGGGATGAGGCGATGACTCAAGATGGGGAGGAGCGGGAGGCGGGGAGTCTGTGAGGGACAAGGGGGAGGAGCGCTGTTGGTGAGGAGTCAAGTGAGGATGGCAGGGAGGGTGAGGCGGTGCCAGGAGGAGCCGGCGGAGGCAGGAAGGATTCCCCCAGGGCCTCCGAAAGGGAGAGAATGAATTCCTGTGGCTGTAAGCTCTCTATTTGTGGTCATTTGTTCTGGCAGCTCCAAGAAGTGAGTAAAGCAGCCATCCTGGCTTGTCCCTGCTGGAAGGGTTTCTGGGACATGGGAGTTTCAGTGCTAAAATCAGGAAAACGCGGAGAGCCCAGATGAGTTGGGCTCTCCAGGCGCCCCTGCCTCAGGCTTGAACTTAGCATCTGGTGCGATAAGGAAGCAGGGACCGCCAGGGTCTGTCTGTGGGCTAGGAGCCTGTGCCCAGGTGGTGACCACAGTGCTGGCGGCAAAGCCCCGGCCGGGCTCTTAGGGCCAGCAGGCTGCAGGCCCTTGTGTGCAGGGGTGGCAGGGTGGTCGTGCAGGGCGTGCCATCCACACCTCACCTGTTCTGCGGTGTGAAGCTGACCTTCATCCTCACTGAGATTCTCCAGCCTGAAGCCCCAGCAATTCTGCCAACTGGCCGGTAGCACCTGAAGGAACGTCCTTCTGCTTAAATCGGTTGTGGGAGGAAGCTGTGTCTGCAGCAACCCTCTGGAACGAGGGGCCTGCCCCGCAGTGGAGAGACCGGGCCCTCAGGACACAGCTGCACCAGGGCGCATGGTACTGCCTTAGCACCGGGCACCTGCCACAGGGCGTGTCTTGAACCACATCAGGCCTGGGCAGCCAGGGAGGTCTTTTCCAGGAAAAGAATTCAGCCTCAGGAAGCTCCCACCTGTCTGAAGGCCCAGATGGAGAGGAAGAGGCTGCTCAAATGATGAAATCACATCAGATCTGGAAGCTGGCTCAAAATAACCCAGGAAGGAGATCGGTAAGGAGACGGGGTGTAAGAGAATCGAGCTGCCTCCCTGATCTGGCACCTTCCTCAGACTGCCCTTGTCCCCTGTCCTGAGAAAGGAGACGGCTGGACACCTTGGGTACGGGTCCCACACCTGCAGGCCAGAGATGTCATTCTCCTTGGTGCCACCAGCAGGAGCCCAGCCTGCTGGGGCCATAAGCTCCCTTCCCCTCTCCTCCCCACGGATCCACCTGAGAAAGGGAGGCTCTGGTTCCCTGCCAGCTCCTCCCTCCGGGGCAAGAGCCCAGAGCCACCCAGAGGCTTGCTTGGCCCCAAAGGTGAAAAGGGGGTCTGGCCAGAGGGGGCCCACGGCCTGCCCATGGAGGACACTTTCATCAATAGCTGTATTTTTTTTTTTTTGAGAGAAGCCATTCTGAGTGTTTTATTAATGATGCGTCTGTGGGGAGGGCTTTACTAGATATGAAGTAGCGAATGCTAATGCTAGGAACAGAACGATAGAAGCATTTTCCTCCTAAAAAGTTCTTCCTTTCAGGGGGCAAAGTTTTTGTAATACAAACACCTTTTGGTTCACTTAAATTCGAGTAATGAGGAACTTTGATATTTCTGAGTTAATAATGCCTTGATTAATCCGTATCTGCATATGACTCAGATGTACTGATTTCTGCCATTTCTCGCTCAGCATGCTAACTCTGAGCAGGGGGTCTTGTTCACACTCAGTCGTTTTTCTCAGGAACTCCAGGGGGCAGTGACTTCACTGGAAATCGATATCAAAGCACCGAGTGGAAAGTGTTCCATCGCAGAAGCTCTTTTTAAACGTTTTCTTTTTTCTTCCAGTTTTATTGGCATATAATTGACGTACAGCATTGTATTACTTTCAGATGTACAACATGAACATTTGATTATGTACATATTGTGAAATGGTCACCACGATAAGTAACATCCATCACCTCACATAGTGACCATTGTTTTTGTGATAAGAACTTTTGAGATGTACTCTCTTAACATCTTTGAAATATACAAAAGGGCGATATTAAATATACAAAATTTATATATAAATATACAAAATGGACTATATTAAGCACACTGTCCATTAGAGTCCCAGAACTTATTTATCTTATAAATAAAGATGCCTTGTACTTTTTGACCCCTTTACTTATTTCCCCCCTCCCCCACCCCTACCTCTGGAAGGCACCATTCGATTCTGTTTCTATGAGTTCATTTCTTTAAGATTCGACGTATAAGTGATATCATACAGTACTTTTTCTCTGTCTGAATTATTTCACCTAGCATAATGCACCCAAGTCTATCCATGTTGTTGCAAATGGCAGGATTTCCTTTTATATGGCTGAATAGTATTCCACTGTCTGTCTGTCTCTCTCTCACATTTTCTTTATCCTCTTATCTGTTGAAGGTCCCTGAGGTCGTGTTCATGTCTTGGCTATTGTGAATAATGCTGCAATGAGCATGGGAGAGCAGATGTCTCTCAGAGGTAGTGATTTGGTTTCCTTTGGATTGATAAACAAATGGCTAACAATAGGATCGTCGGAGTCTGTGAGGAACCCATTTGGTCTAAACCTACTTCAGCCTGACATTGTTTTTTTCCCCAAAAGGTCCTAATATGGCCATTGAGCATGCACTGTATGCCTGCTTGAAGCATTTGCTGTGTCCCAAAGACAAGAACAAATGGCCTTAAGATAAAGGTGCAACTTCCCCCACATTGGCATTTCCTTAAGGATGAGCATCTCTCCCTAGGCTAGAAATTGTTTGCTGTGCCCAGCCCGTGACCACCCACATGGAGATAAAAGTCGGGCTACCTGCTGTGTCCACCGAGACAGCTGACCCACCACCTGCTGTAATAGCTGTGCTCACAGGGCAATCCCGAGACTCTTGTGAAAGGGAACTTTCAATCATATGTGATAGATGCTCTTTGACGGTACAGAACCACTCTGTACAACCCCTCTTCTTGGGGGCCCTTCCTTAGAGAAGGAAGGCCCAGGGTTAAGCTAATCCTCAGATCTGGCTCACAATAAACTCAGCCCAATTTTCATTTATACATCGGCTATGGATTATTTTCGTTGACATTTCTTGGCGTGATCACAGCAGGATTTCAGAGAAACCCACCGGAGAACACCCGGAATCTACACTGAACTGGCATTCGGTACCAACAGGGGCCCATTGAGCCCCCTGGATCACTGCGTTCTTCAGGTGACCCTGGAGCGTTCTCCTGAAACCCGGACGTCCTTATTTCAGGTTGATGGTCCAAGAGGTTAGATGAGCTGTTTCAAACCTTAAGACTAGGTGTCTTAGGGGCCCCAGGACACACCCTCGGTGAGAACCCTGGGGGAATGCCTAGGCCGGGGGAGCCTAGTGGGAACTTTGGAGTGAATGGGGCAGGCTGACCTGTTTAATTTAGCTTTAAATTGGAAAGAATTGTGTTTATCAAGTCTGAACAAACTGCTTGATAGAGAAATCAGAGTCTGAACGGCCACTGCTGCTCCCTGCCGAGAGGCATTCTCAGGCAACTGAGGGCCTCAGCAGGAGGGCTGGAGGATCGAATGCCCCGTGACGTGCAGCGGCCCCATAGGGAACGCCACCATCATTCACAGTAATTTATGACGGCTGGTTCAGGAAAGTGCACATAAGGGTTGGTCACTCACGCTCTGAGGCCCCACTGAGGTGCGAGACTGCCCAAGGGAGAAACCGAGGCACATAAGAGAGCGTTTACGACCTTTCTGTAGGGAGTAACACTCACAAACAGCATATTTCTGACCCATTACACTGGCCCTAGAAGTTGTTTGGACCTTATAGCAAAACGAAAATTTTCCTTTTTTTTTTTTTTAGATTGGCACCTAGGCTAACAACTGTTGCCAGTCTTTTTTTTTTTTCCTGCTTTATTTCCCGCAGGATAGGCCCCAGAGTCGGCCCCGAGAGCAAAACAAAATGAAAAGAAATGCAGGAAATCGAGCTTCTAAAAAAGCCCGACCGGTTCCCCAAATGGGAAGCCTCTCCTCCGAACTCTGGTTGGCTTCACGCCCAGACTTGCAAGTGCTTGACAAGAGTGGGAATGTTCTCATCCCAGAATCCTAAGACTGAAAGAAAGAAAACATGGGAAAAGAAGTTTTTTCAGAAGCCATCTGCTATGAAAAGACCCCAGCCCAGAAATCTAAGGCTGAGAATCACAGCCCAGAATCACAGATGGGCCGATGGGTCCCACACGCACAGCCACCCTGCACTCTCTGGGCTCCCACAGGGGGTCCCCCATGGAGGGCTAACGTCTAAGGCCCTGCGTCCGGCACCATGGGCTCCCTTCACCCTGCTCCTTGAGGGCCCATCTTGTTGATAGATCCATCCCCAAGCGCATCTCCTTGTAGCCCTCCAAGGCCTGCACAGGCAGCTCCCTCTACCTGCACTGGCCCTCCCTCTCTGCCCACATAACCAGTTTCTCTTTCTCCTGGAGGACCCTATTCTGTGGTCCCCACATCTGCAAAGACTCCTGTACTGGGTTGAAGAGTGTTTCCCCAAAATTCACGTCCACCAGAACCTCACAATGTGACTGCAGCTGGAAACAGGGCCTTTGCGGATGTAATCAGTTAAGGTGAGGTCACACTGGAGTCGGGTGGGCCCTAACCCCAAATGACAGTGTCCTCATAAGGAGGAGAGAGACACACAGAGAGGAGGAGGCTGTGTGTCCATGGAGACGGAGAGTGGCGTGATGCATCTGGAAGCTGAGGACTGCCAGCCACCGTCAGAAGCTGACAGATGGGAGGACAGACACTCCCTCAGGCTCTGGAGGGAGCACGGCCCTATGACACCTTGATCTTGGACTTCTGGGCTCCACACCATGAATGAATTCCCGTGGTTTTTTAAGCCACTCACTTTGTAGTCATTTTTGACAGCAGCCATGGGAAACTGACACTCCTCCTTTGTACCCCCAGCCCTATGGGCCATGGCTCCTGGAGGACTGGCCGAGTGCCAGGGTGCGCTGTGCTGTGAGAGGAGGGCAAGTGCACACCTGGTCCAGGACCAGCTCTGGCGCTGACCAGTGGTGGGTGGGGCCGGCACAGGTGACCTCTCTGTGCTCAGGGTCCTCACCTGAGATCGGGGTACTGGTCCCCCCCACAGGACGCTCTGGTGACTAAAATAATGCTGGGCGAGGGGCTTGGCTGGGAGAGGTGATGTTGTTACTATTATTTTTCAGACTCACTCACAAACGACCGCCTACCTGTTCCAGATCTGTCAGGATCTCAGCGGGACCCTCGGCCCCAGGGGGACACAGAAGGGCCAGCTTGCGGTGACTGCTCTGGTGCCCGACTTCGTTCCCCTGCCACAAGCTGCGGGCCACAGACATCCACTGGGTTCTCCGGGGTCCTGGTGGGGGTTGAGGCCTCCGACACAATGTCTAGGCTGTCATTACACAGGCTATGGTCTGCCATCGTGGGAAATGGAGATTCTGCATCTGGGTTCCCATTTAGTGGTGTGCCAGGGACTGAGTTCTCAGGCAACTAAACCAAGAAGAACATGGTTGGAGATGGGTGATTCAGCACACGAGCCCCGGGGAGGACAGAGGCCGAGCAACCTAAGGCAGCACCAACTCTGGTCTCAGCTCTGCCCTGACCGCCGGCTCGGCTGGCCTTGGGCAAGATGCCTTGAGGCCCTTTTGGTGCCTCAGTTTCCCCATTGTGAACTGAATCCTCCAGAGCCTGAAGCTCCTCCAGCTCAGGGCCCTTGGCTCCCTCGTGGCCACAGAATAATTACTGAGCTAATACTCAGGCAAGGACAGGGCCTCCTGGAGCCGGCCCGGCCACCTCCCGACTTGGGGGCTGGCTGCCCCTCACGGGGAGGCCGCGACAGGGCCACACTTCACGCTGCCTGTGGCCGGGGCTGCACTCACCATGCTCTCTCCTCCGTCACTGTCTCCTGTGAAGACAGACAGCAGAGTGGTTAACGGTGGCAGGAGATCATACCCTGTGATGCTGCGGCTGGGGCAGCACCTGCACCCGGCTCCAGGCCAGGAAGCAGCAGTAGCAAGCCTGGCTGTGCCCCACTTCCCACATTATCCGGTTCCACAATTTCTGGGACCTTCCAAGAGGCCTGTGGCTCTCTGCACCAAGAGCACCACCTCTTAGCCCCACACTTGCTCTTCCCACCGAGCCTGTGGACACACCCTGCCCCGAGCCCAGGTCTGCCTCTGAGGCTGACCCGGGACTCTGTCACCAAGATGCCTTGGGGACCCTGTAATCCAGCCAAGCCCGTCCCGCAGCCTCAGAGGCGGGCACTCAGCCGCCAACAGCATTGTAATCACCCCAGGCCGATGCCCCGGGTTACGAGGAGCCTCAGCTCATGAGGACCAGGGGCTCCCAGCCCAGGCTGGCGCTCGCTGTGTCCAGTGGTTCTCACGTCAACGCTTCATACCAACGGCGAGACGATGGCACGCACCCCAGCATCCTTTTTCTTCTCGTTTTCGAGCATAAATATAGGTGACGATCATAATAACCAGGAAAGTTAGAAAGCTTCCAATCACACACCACCGGTGTCTCCCGCCTAAAACAGGGAAAGAGAAAATGTCTCCGGAAGGTCAACTGACCTATTTTCCCAGCAACCACAGGATAGAGAACAAATGAACACATCCAGCAATTCCACTTAAGGGAATGTACCCGAAGGAAACAAAAATACTATGCTGAAGAGAGATTTGCACACCCCGCGCCCCGCACCCTGCCCTGCCACAGCATTATTTGCAACAGCCGTGACATGGAAACAAACCTAGGTGTGCGTCGACAGGTGCGTGGGTAAAAAAAATGTGGTCTATACATATAGTGGAATATTACTCAGCCATAAAAAAGAGCATCCTGCCATTTGCCATATGGATGGAGCTTGAGGGCACTATGCTGAGTGAGTTCAGTCAGCCAGAGAAAGACGAACACCGTATGATCTCACTCATATGTCAAATCCAAAACACAAAACAGAAACCAAGAAATCCAAACTCATAGAAAAAGAGATCAGACTTGTGGTTCCCAGAGGCAGGGGGTGGGGGTGGTGGAAACGGATGAAGGGGGTCAAGAGGTACAAATTTCCACCTATAACATCCTAAGTCCCAGGATGCAACGGGCAGCATGCCGAGTATGGTTAACAGTGCCTTGCGGGATATTTGAACGTTGTTTACACAGTAGATCCTAAGAGTTCTCATCACAAGGAAAAAAACATTTGTTTTCCTCTTTTTCTTTACTGTGCTATCCATATGAGATGATGGATGTGAACTAAACTTGCTGTGCTGATCATTTCACGATATATGCACGGCAAGTTAGGATGCTGTATGCCTGACACTTACATGGCACTATGTCAATTATATCTCAGCAAAACTGGGGAAGAAAACAACAAACAAACATCTCTGCTGGCTGGCCCGGCAGACCTTGCACACCCCGGGGAAGAGGCCTCGTGAGCAGGCCTCCCCTGGCCTGGCCTGGCCTTTCCTGGAGGCTGGGCCCAGCACGTGGTGGGGGTGGGGAGGAGAGGCAGCCCCAGGCTGGCACGGCTGAGGGCAGGGAGTCGTGACCCCTTCCCAGGGTGTGTGCAGTGGCAGGTCTCCGATGGGCCTGCAAGATCCATTCTGCCACACGGGAGTCTGGGGCAAGGGTGCTCTCATGCCACCCCCTCAGGGGAGGTCCTGTGCCCACCTGCCACCTTGGGACAGTCCCCTTAGGGGACAGGCATCTGGGCAGCTCGGCCGGCACGGCTGGGCAGAGCCAGGCCGTGCCTCTGGTGGCCAGTGAGGCACTGAAAGTCCTAGGCTGCAATATTAAGAAATGTGTGCCTCAGTCTCTGTCCCCGGTTCCTGTGAATATTTGGTCTTTGACCCCAGTTCCCGACACAGAGCTCCTAAAAGCTTGTAATTCCCCGAGTGATGGGAACATCTTGGCTTCCAATGAAGCGACAACTCTGGGTGGCTCCTGGACAGGGGCTGGGCACCAGAAGGGCCAAGCCTGATTAGAAGTTGGAACTTTCAGCCCCACCCGCCATCCTCCAGGGAGAGGATGACCCATCATGCCCACGCAAGGAAGCCTCCATAACATTCCCAAAGGCGTGGGGTTTGGGGAGCTCCCGAGTCGGTGAACACAGGAGCGTGGTGCCCCCGCATCCACGGGGAAGGAAGCTCCTGGGCTCAGGACCCTTCTGACCCTCAGCCGGTGCACTTCTTCACCTGGCTGTGCACGGGCATCCTTTGCCACATCTTTCAGAATAGCCACTGAGTCTCAGCAAGGGTTTCCCAGAGTTCCGGGAGCTGCTTTAGGAATGACCAAAGCCAAGGAGGGGGTGGTGGGAACCTCTGATTCGTAGCCCAGTCGGACAGAAGTCGCGCGCAACTTGGGGACCCACTACTTGCAATTGGCATCTGAAGTGGGGGGCCGTCTTGTGGGACTGAGCCCTTCACCTGGGGGGCTCTGGGCTATCTCTGCTTAGTTTCAGAATGAACTGAACTGCAAGACCCCAGCTAGTGTCGGAGAATTGGTCAGTGTGGGGAAGACCCCACAAATCTGGTATCAGAAGTAGTGTGAGAGCAAAGGAGAAACGGGCTTTTCCCTAGACCTCTGGGGAACCCATCGGCCTCCAGCCCACAGGACAGCCACGTGTGTCCCTCCCTTGGACACAGACCTAAGAACAGAGGCCCAAGGGGGTCACATAACACCTGGCTTTCCAATGCCTCGGCCCTCCAGGGATGAGAGGAAGCACGTTTCCCTCAAGGGTTTATTTGCTTGTTTTTAAATTGTAGCGAAATATGCATCACAGAAAATTGACCGTTAACCATTTTAAGTGTACAGTTCTGCCTTCTGTCTATACATTTGCCTCTTCTGGACGTTTCATACAAATGGATTACATGACACGTGGTCTTTTGTGTCTGGCTTCTTTCACTCAGCACAATGTAGCATGTGACAGCACCTCATTCCTTTTCATGGCTAAATACTATTCTGATATGCATATATTGGAATATATTGCATTTTCTTAGTCATTCCTGCTAATAGACTTAATTCTTCTTTTTTTTTTTTTTAAAGTTTTTTTTTTTTTTTTTTTTTCCTTTTTCTCCCCAAAGCCCCCCGGTACATAGTTGTGCATTCTTCGTTGTGGGTTCCTCTAGTTGTGGCATTTGGGACGCTGCCTCAGCGTGGTCTGACGAGCAGTGCCATGTCTGCGCCCAGGATTCGAACCAACAAAACACTGGGCCGCCTGCAGCGGAGCGCGCGAACTTAACCACTCGGCCACGGGGCCAGCCCCATAGACTTAATTCTTTTTTAATAACAAGCCCTTGAGCCAAGACCATGCTACGGGAAGGACAGTTTTTCAGTAAATGGGGTTGGGGAAGCAGACATCCACACGCAGAGAACGAAGCTGGACCTCGCACCATACATGAAAATTAACTCAAAATGGATCCAAGACCCAAACACGAGAGCTAAAACTCTAAGAAAGAAACTATTTGAAGAAAACATAAGGGAAAAGCCTCATGAGACTGGATCGGGCAATGATTTCATGGATATGCCACCAAAGGCACAGGCAACAGAAGAAAAGTACACAAACGAGACAATCAAAATAGAAAACATCTGTGCTTCGAAGAATGCACAGCCAACAGAGTGAAGAGACAACCCACACAGTGGGAGAAACTATTTGCAAATCACGGACCTGAGAAAGGGTAAAGAACTCCTACAACTCAACCGCCACCACCACCAAGCCACACAACTTTTTCTTTTTTCTGACGATTGGCACCTGAGCCAACATCTGTTGCCAATCTTTTTTCTTCTTCTTCCCCCAAAAGCTCCCAGCCCATAGTTGTATATTCTACTCATAGGCAATTTTTTTTGGTATGCATTTTGGTGAGGCAGATTGGCCCTGAGCTAACATCTGTTGCCAATCTTCCTCTTTCCCCCTGGCTGCTGAAGCGGAGTGTGGGAACTTAACCACTTAGCCAAGGGGCCTGCCCCCTGCGATTTTTAAAAGGTGTGTCTAGAGACAGAAGGCAGGTGAGTGTTTGCCAGGGGCTGAGGGAAGGAGAGAAGGGGCGCTACTGTGTCATGGGTACAGAGTCCTTTTGGGGGCACGTCCATGTTTTGGAACTAGATAGAGGCGGTGGTCCTAACTGGCACTAAATTGTTCACTTTAAAATGGGTGATTTCATAGTATGTGAATTTCATCTTAAACAATACACGTACTTTTAAAAAACAGCTGTCTTACCTGGACCGGCCAAGCCGCACACCGTGTCTGCTGTAGCGTTGCATTTCTTGAGGACCACGCTCCCTCTAGGACACCTGGGGGAGAGAGGCGCCCTCAGTGTTCCTCCCCCATGAATGCCCAGGGCCACCGGCACCCAAGTCCATGTCGCCATCAGCACGTCATCTCCCTGGGCCCAGAAGGGGCCTGGCAGGCGGACGGGACACACCCCCAGCCGGCATTTGGGGAGCACTGCATGCTGTGGTCAGAGACCCCACAAAGGGTCCTGGCCACACAGAGAGCCACACGCTCTCCCCGCCCTGCACCAGCTCCTCCGATATCCTTGCTGTCACTTGGACCGAGAGGAAGGTGTCCTTATTTTCCTCCTCTATGGAGACCGATGGCCTGGTTGGTAGGCATGCGGACTGAAGGAAAGGCCTCTGTCTTGCAGAGGCTCAGTAACTTAGGTCCCTTCCTAGTTGCTGCGGGTCTCAGCTCTGCGTCCCCTCTCATGCGTTTCATGGTTCTGAAGTGACAGGCAGGTTTGTTCAGGCCCAGGAGGAAGTATTTACTCACTAATGTGCCTCACAGACTCAGAGCCCTCTGCACTGCACTGAAGGGTGACAACCACAGACGTCCCTAAGGGCGTTTCATCAGCCCCATGCTTTCCACCATCACCCGGGGTTCGCCACCCTCTTCTGGGAATGAATGAGGTCTAGTCCAGAATCACAAAGCAGAAAACACTGGAGACGTCTCCGCCTCAGCCATCCTTAAAGGAAGAGAAAGCCCTGTCCAGCCTGTGGCTTTGCTTTCTTTTGACTGAACGCAGCCTCGGAGATGGTGGGCAGGCAAGTCCTGGGCCCCGGAGTGAGCCCTGGACAGCAGCTCGGATGCCAGAGGACGCCACTGTGATGCCTCCAGAATTCTGAGGGGGTGCGTTCCCACCCTGTCCACAGCCGGTCCACAGAACGTGAGGGAAGGAAAAAGCCCTTTGAAAGGGCAATGATCCAGAGTGTACGTCCTGCATCCTTTCCTAGGGTGTGATATGAGGATGTGCTCCAGCAAAACGAAGGAGCAGACCAAGCCGGGGCACAGGGGGCGGTGCACAGAACCCAGGAGAGTGGGGACGGGAGGTCCCGCCCTGGCTGCTGGGAGCAGACCTTCAGGGCAGCGAGTCCATCTGGGGACTGCGGGATACAGGGCAGAGACGATGGGCAGAGAGGCAGATGGAGAGCTCAGAAAAAGCGAGGTGTGAAAAAGAAAGTGATGCATCAAGACAGGGAATGGCAACGGGGAACCTCTAAAGAGGAGAAAAGAACTATGTAAAGTAGAATCTGTCCAAATAAGAAATAACCTGAAACTTGGCATATTTCTCCGGGCCTGGAGAGATAAGAAAAGAGAAAAGAGAACCACTCGGCTGGAGCCAGGAAGGTCTCTGCGCTGGAGCAGGGCTGTGCTCACCTGGTCGATGGTCACACGTCCTGCTGGTTCTCAGCCCCTCAAGAATAACCCCACACGAGCCCAGGGCCACCATTGACCCCCCGAGGCACCAGCGCAGAGTGTCACCTACTTGCTGCACCGACTGCAGAATTCCAAGCCCCCCGGGGGGCGGTAGAAACGGCCCGTTTGGCACTGGCATGTCCGGTCTCGGGTGGAAGTGCACTCCGCCACCATTTGTTCATCTGCGGTTCAGGGAAGAGCGGGTCAGTGCACAGGGAGGCAGCGTGTCCTTGGGCGGACCCGTGAACCCACATCGCCATCCGGAACGGAAGTCCCGTGTGCGGAAGGAACTCAGCCGGCCACGCGGAAGCCCGGAGATGGCCCCAAGTGGCAGTGAACACCGGGAACACCGAGGGGATACCCTGACCACGTCTTCACACCCTCGTCTCCCACGGCAAATGCCTAGAACTGAGGTGCGGGCTCAAAAGGTTTGCACGGATAAATTCTGAACCACAGCTTCACCGTGCCCTCACAGGCCTCTGTCCAACATGTCTACCCCACCGCCAAGGCACAGGCCGCTCCCTGCCACCGCCTTCTCCATGGCCTGGCCACATGGCTAGCCATCTCCGGCGGCCTGTCCATGCTTAACTCATGTTTTCATTTGCTCCATCAGGCTCCTAGGGAATCTTTTCTTTTCTTTTCTTTTCCATGAGGAAGATTAGCCCTGAGTTAACATCTGTGCCAATCTTTCTTTATCTTGCCTGTGAGTTGGGGCCACAGCATGGCTGACGAGTGGTGTAGGTCTGTGCCCAGGATCCAAACCTGTGAACCTGGGCTGCCAAAGTGGAGTTCGCTGAACTTAACCACCACACCACCAGGCCGGCCCCCAGGGAATTTGAACACCTTCTCACTCACTTCAAGGGGCCCTCCGCTCAGACTGCTTCCTTTCCTTAAACTAACTTGCCAGGCTTCTCCTCTGAATTGGCATTGTCACCCTCGGTGGCTTACAGAGAAAATGTCAATGTTTTTCCCATTGGGTGGTTCTCCTTTTAACCTTGTTTATGGAATCGGGGCCAACAGGAAACCCAAAGTTCTAGACGTCACATGTGGTGTAGCTCTGAGGTTAGGTACCCATCGTCTGACTGTGTGACAGAAAAATCTAGCCTCAGCTAAACCTTATGGGCTAAGGACTGTGGGGCCCCATGGGGGCCGAGTTCTCGTCCTGTTCTCTGCTGATGGAGAATAGGGGAGATTTTCATGAAAACCAGATCACGGTAGATTTGGATATGGACCGGAGGCTAGATCATATTGGGGAATTACGCTTCATCTCCAGGATGCGGTCCCAGCACATGGTTCCGGAAAGGAATGTCTTGATTCTCAGGAAATGCACGCTGCAGTGTTCTGGGGTGAAACACTATGACTTCTGCAGCGCACTTGGAAACGGTTCAACCGCAGGCACACGCAGACACCCCCACGAACAAATGTGGGAAAACACAGGGATTGTTTAATCTTCGGTTGGAGACTCTATTCTTTCAACTCTTCTCCAAGTTTGAAAATTTTCATAATAAAAAATTGCTTCTTTCTTGAGGGGTGACTTTTATATGATGAGTTTGCTGTGTGCATGTCTTAAGTTTTCTAGACTGAATTTACTAATTTGCAATGTGAAGAAAATGATTAAAAGTGAAAAAAAACTGCTTAGAAGTTTGAATCAGAGCGTAATCACAGTTTTCGTCACTTTTTTCTTACTCTCACAATACACGGGGAACAATTTTTTATACCAATCAAGGTTCTCCAGCTACTTCTTTCCAGCACTTGCCTAGCTCTGGGCTTTGTGACCGCACCGTCTCTCCTCTACCCAAATGCTCGGTTAATATGCATCTGAGTTTTCCTGAATCATCATGGCTAAGCTGCAAACATCATTGTGGGGAAATATTTAGGCTCAACGTTAATGACTTCTTTAGGGAACGTTCCGGGCCTGGTCACTGCCAGGTCAGGGGTTTCAAGGTCAAGAAAGGTGCCTGTGGCCGCAGACTCACTCTCAGAGCAGGTGGCACACACGTTGCAGGAATCCAGGCCGTTGGCGTGTGCCGTGAAGGTCCCTCTGTCACACGGCGTACACTTCCCACGGGTGTGGTGGCTCCTGCAGTGTTCCTCGACAAACGAGCCTGTGGAGGAGATCGGTGCTGTGGTCAGATCCCGCACCAGGGCACACCTCCCTCCCAGCCCCTGGGGGCTTGCCTCTCCAATGAGCAAATACAGATGCTTATGTCTTGGGGTTTTAGATCAAAATAATCTCTGGATTGTTATGACCCCTTGGAGATGATAAGCGCCAAACTGCCATGGCTCCTGCCTCCGAGGGCTCTGGTCACCTGTCCTGCATTTGCTCCCCTAGACAGCTATGCTGGGGTCACGACAGGGGGCCCGAGCCCCTCTGAGCCCTCAGATACAGATGACGAGCACCTTGTCCAAGGTCAGTGGAAGGACTGGGACAACAGCCCCGCTCTCTGCCTGCCCAGCCCGGGCTCGCCACCCAACTGCCCCAATGGGAGACGAGAGCGAGTGATGGGTGCATGAAGCTTCAGGGCTCGAGGCCCTGCTGTGCGAGCACTGCCCAGCTTCCTTCTGAGGGGACTGGAGATGTGACACGTGTTCTGTTCAACGTCCATAGACTTCACTCGGCCGGCTCGGGTCTCCTTTGCCAAGTTTGCTAAGGGCAGGTCGGTTCTTCCTTCTAGGTTTTCCCTCATCAGCCCTCTGCTAGCCTCCACCGCTGCCATGTGAGAGGCATTTAGGTGGCCCTGGGAACTGCCTTTCACGTTAACAGATCTGTGTTTATTCTATTGTATAGCCAGAAATATTGACAAGCACAGCGAACGTGTGACCTCACGGATGCGGCTGCTCGGGCGAGGCTGAAGGAGGCTGTGCAGAGGTTTGTCGATCTCCGCAGATGGCGGGGGTGTAGGTGCAGGACTCAGGAAGCCCACCCAGCACACCTTCCACGGCAGAACCGTCCCCCTCACCTCCCACGCTCAGCCCTCGGGAACTGGCTGGGCTGTGATGTGGCCCGCAAAGCCTGGTGCCCACTCATGGCGCTGCGCTCTTTATAATGGCCCTGAAGGCCACTTCTAGAAGCTGACAATCGTGTAACATGCAAAGTCCACGTGAGAAGAGAGACCTGTGGGGAGACGGTCCTGAGGTCTGGCTGTCTTCTGTCATAAACAGGACTGAAAGCATCTGAAGGGACGTGGAGAGGGAAGCGTGATGGAATGGCTGACACGTCTTCGGTGGGTCTGGAATGAACGAAGCTAACACCTGTTCTGAAGCTTGGTTTATGGCTCCTGTCGCTTTACCATCATTGATACCGATTTCTCATTGATAGCAGCGATATACATTTCTTTCTTGAAATAGACTGATTTGAAATTTAAAAATGATTCAGCCTAAAGAATAATCTTAAAATCATTCCCTAAATGCCATTTCCATGAGTGGGCAACTTTTGGGGGCACAGAGCAGTGTCCATGCGGGTGACAGACCCCAAGTGGACATCCCTTGTCCAAGGCACTGTGTTCAAAACCTGACGGTCCAGGAGGCTCAGTCTTACTACTGCTCTTACAGCTGAGGAGAGGCTGTTGGTGGGGTGGGGGTGGGGGGGCAACTGAGGACGTGCCCAAGTCATCTGGCTGGTGAGCTGCCAATAGGACTGGTCCAGGTTCTTGGCTCTCCTCTCCTGGCAGGTGAGGACCTGTGGCCTGGGAGGCCGATCTCCCAGGCAGGGCTGTGCCCAGCCTCCCGCCATGCCCCCACTGCCTTGTCTGGGAGCTTGTCTCTCGGGAGGTGGCGGAGCCCGAGGCTTGGGGAACCCGTCTTGGAGTCTCCCTCTGTGCAGCGAAGGGTTAACTCAGCAGGTTTGGGGTTCTCGAACCCTGCACATCCCCAAGATCTTCAGGACTGGCCCTTGACCACCTCCTGGGAGGTGCCCTCAGAGACCTCAGACCATCCTGCCTGGGGCCTGGTAAGAGTGTCCTTACCTACCAGATCTTTATTTACACTGACTGATTTTAATCTTTCCAAAATCAACCATAACTGTGAATGGCACAGCTTTTCTGGATCCTGCAAGTCCTTCCAGACAATGTGGGTCTTGGGGACCCCCAACATAGGGACGCATGCCTGCTGCTGGCAGAGTGTGACGGGACTAGGATGGATGAGCCCAGGCTGAGCCACTAACAAGTGGTGTGACCTTGAGCAAGCCCCTTAACCGCTCTGGGCCCGACTTCCTCACCTGCCCGAGGAGACCCTGACCTCTGCGGCAGGCGCCCAGGGCGTGATGGTAATCTTCCTGGTCCCCCTCTTTACTTCCTGTGCCCTCAGCTGGGTTCTGGGGCTCATCCATCATAGGGTGGGTGAATAGGAGACCCCAGATCAGGAGGAGCTTCTGGCCACTGCCGCCCACTCGGTACAGACAGACACACAAACCCTCTTTGCGGGGCGGGGTAGAGCTGGGGGACGTGGATGGGAGCCGCGGGCCCGCGTGTGGGATCCTGCCAGGACTCACCGGCAGGGCAGAGCTTGCAGCAGTGGCCGGCAGACCAGTACTCGTCGGGCCCGCAGGACTCAGGGCCAGGGGGCACCTGGCTCTGCTTGGAAACCAAGTTGGTCTCGGTGGTCACCTTCACCTGGAAAAGGACAAGAAATGTTTACTAACAGCCCACGTTTAATGTCCCCTCTGATGTGGTGGGCGCTTTCTCAGCCGTCCCTAAGTTCTAGCTCAATTAATGTCAATGTCCACCCCGAGAGGCAGGTGCTATTAAAGCCTGGCTTTACGAGACCAGCCCAAGGTCCCGGCTGGTCGGCACTGGGCCAGGACACTGTCCCAGCCCGGCTCACTGGAGAGCTGGGGTTCCTCACCATACATGCCCCAGCCTGCAAAGAAGACGACCACTCTGCGGAGGGCCCTGAACGCTGCCCTCAGGCTGTGCCTGCTGGACCGGGGCAGGGGAGCGCCACAGACCAACTGGCTCTATGGGTGATGAAATGAGACATTTCTCAGTCCATCTTCTGGGGCTGAACGTGTTACAATGCACAGCTTTTACGGGTAGCAAGAATTCAGTGACAATAACACCAAGAAGAACAAAGAAACATCTGGGCTGGCGAAACACAGAAAGTGAGACAGCAGCCACCCCCTCACACTGGGGAATGGACAGGGGCAGAGGCGTCCTGGAGGAGGAGGGGCTCGGCCAGACATGGCAGAAACAGGAACAGATGGAATTGTCCCGAGCTGGTCAGAGGGGCCCCTCGAGCGGGTCTCCACCCTGCTGTTCCCTCTGCAGAGAGCAGCAGCCTGGGGGTGGCGATGGCGTTGCTGCTGGATGGGGGTGGCGGCAGCAGCACGAGTGAAATGAGCTGCAGCCTGTGAGCATCCAGAGGGTCTCTGGGGATGCGACAATATTGTTGGGGGGCAGCATTTGCGTGGTGACTCTTCTCGGGCTTGATTTCAGGAGAGAAAGTGATGGGGGAGAGTGGCCATGAGCACCTGGATGCCCAAAGCTGGCGGCCTCCGGAGAGTATCCTAGACAATATCGTGTAATTAAAATACGGAATAAATAGAGACGTGTGAATGCACTCTGTGATGTTCACACTGATGAAATTGCCTGACAACGCATTTCTCAGAACGTGCCCCTGACATTGGTGTTAAGCTGGTAGAAATTCCAGTCAGATTGAAATAACTGTAGGATGTTAAATGTAATGTCTAACATAACTACAAAGAAAACAGTGATAGAATATGAACAAAAAGAAATGAGAAGGGATTTAAAACTTTTCACTACAAAAAGTAAACTAAACACATAAGAAGGCCGTGATGCAGGAAATGGGGGACAAAAACCGCTATTTGGGACACAGAAAGCAAATAGCACGATGTCAGAACTAAGTCCCTCTTTATAGCAATTACTTAAAATGTCAATGGATGACACTCTCCAATCAAAAGGCAAAGACTGGGAGACAGAATTGCAGAAAATGGCCCGACTAAATGCTGTCGACAAGAGACTCACTTTAGATCCAAATCCTTACACAGGGTGACAGCGAAAAGATAAACAAAGATATTCAAGGCACACAGCGACCAAAAGAGAGCTGGAGTGGCTATGCAAACATCAGACAAAATAGGGTTTAAATAAAAAACTCTTTCAGGAGACAGAGAAAACATGATATTGATGAAACGGTCAATATAGCTAGAAGATATAACAGTCATAAACATTGATGCTCTAATAACAGGCCTTCAGAACTCGCGAAGCCAAATTGACAGGATGGAAGGGAGGAATAGACGGGTCTACAGTAACAGCTGGAGGGTTCAACAGTCCACTCTCAATAACGGACAGAAGAACCAGACAGAAGACGAGGAAGGAAACAGAGGACGCCCCCGGCACAGGCCACCACTCAATCGAACAGACACATGCAGAACACTCCACCCGACCACGACAGAATAAAGATTCTTCTGTAGTGGACACAGGATGCTCTCCAGGAGAGACCATAGGTTACGCTACAAAGAAGTGGGAAAGTGGGGAATCGCTATTGATTCCACAGACATAAAAAAGATTATCCGACTGTACTGTGAACAATAGGACAGCAACAAACTGGAGAACCTAGACGAAATGACAAATTCCTAGAAACACGAAACCTACCAAGACCGAATCATGAAGACAGAAAATCTGAACGCACCTGTAACCAGCAAGGACATTGAATCAGCAATCAAAAACGTCTCCCAAGAAAGAAAAGCCCTGGATTAGATGGCTTTTCTGGTAAATTCTATCAAACATTGAAAGAAGAACTTACATCCATCCTTCTCAATGTAAAAAACTGAAAAAAATCCTAAAAAATTGAAAGGTGAGAACACTTCGTAATTCATCCTATGAGGCCAGCAACACCTGATACCAAAGATATCTGCCAGAGCAAGAAACGGAAAAGACAGGCTTCTGAAAATAGCCATTGGAAACGAGAAGCTGGGATTGGCTCACGTGGTCAGCCTCCGAGTCCTGGGGTGAGGATGCTGATTCCTCTGTTTCACCCCTGTCGGGGGACAAACGACTGTGCTATATTTGTCCAGCTTCGATTCTCAGAATGCTCAGGGACATGAACAGATACTCATTGCGTGGTCTCCAGGTCATTGTCACGTTCGTCAAAAAATGCTGTATGCCGTAACAAGGGCAACTCTGACAAAGGAGTCTGGAGGGGGGCACATTAAAGATGAAGCGTTTGGCCCAGTAAAGGAAGATGTATCATCGATCGCTCCACTGACTGCAGCTGAGGAAGAATCAGGAGAGACTGTAATGAATGAGGTACCTACTGGTGTGGGGGTGGACACCCAGCATCACACACTACAAGGTGTAGCATGTTCTATTTCTCGAGAAGCTTTTTAGGCTTTGGAAAAACGGCACTCAACTATGCGCAATTGGAAATAGACTAAATTATGGAAAATATGGAAATAGATATAAAAGATAAAATTACAATTTTGGCCAACACAACAAATACAGAACTAAAAGATTGGCTGAAGAGGATTCCCAAGGATTCAGCACCCTACCGTCTCTCTCTGTATCAACGCTCCCATGAAGGAGACGGTTTGGAGCCCGCAGTTTTTACTTAGTCGATGCCTGGATACACACGCAGTGTGAGAGAACAGAGGCTGTATTCTAGCTGCAAGAACTCTGCCAGAAAGACAGCTACAAACGGGTGTAGTTAGAAAGAAGGGGACAGAATGAGGACGAGTTGACGGCAGACTTCCTTTCTGAAGGAGTCCACCTCAAGCCGCAGCATGGGAGCCAAGTTTTGCAAAACCACAAAACAGGAATTTGAAGACTAGTGAGGGGTCCAGCGGAAAGTGAAGCCGCTGTTGATTAAAATCAGTATATTAACTACCACAATACCAGTGCAGCTGTGAGTACAGGAGAACGGAAATCATTTCCTGTTGATACAAAGTAGGGAAAAAAACCGTACTTCTTGGAAAACAGCACTTTTCGCTTCTGTGCGTTTTTAAAATTCATGTTCTAGAAGACATGATTTCTATTTTTGAATTAAAGTTAGAAAAGAGTTAGACAGAGTAACGTTTAATTTCGTGACTGTTCTCATAGAGCGATGATTCCACACTTTCACATCATTCCTAAAATTTTATACAGTTGGGCCCATTCCGCAAAGCCTAACGTGTCAAAGGAAGACGCGCTTCTCCTTGCTCCTTAGTGAGACATCGAATCTTTTTCTCTCAAGGAGAGAGAAAGACCTGAAAATGATCACCCCGCCTAACGAAAATTACCAAGAGCCAGGTCGGTGATTTCCCAGCGCAACGCTGACTGCGCCGGGACCCGGAAGCGGCAAAGTCTAAGGAGCAGCGCGGACTGTCACGTGGTGATGAGGGGGCGCATGCGCAGGACGGCGAGAGGGCTGGACCAGCGCAAGGCCGGGATCGCGGGGGCGCGGGCGCGCGGGGGGACGCGGGGGGGCGCGGGCGCGGGGGGACATGGACGACTACGACAGTGTCTGAGGACATCGACAGACGCGTTTCATCAGCTCTAGTACATCCTCTCTCCAGGCCTTTAAAAACTTCCATCTCAAAGGGGAGTCATTTCGGTCTAAGAAGCGTGAGGCCAAATACGCTGTTCAAATTGAACGGGAAATCGATCTCATTCGAAAGCAAACAGAACCGAAGTCAACGACGCCGAAAAAGTTTGAAACATCCAGATTGATTTCTCTCCAAACCCTATATTCACAGGCAAATCGTGTTATCACTTTTATGCAAATATCCAGATTTAATGAAATTGGTTTGAAGTCCTGGTGCTCGTCAGCCCACCCACTTGAGCACTTAGGGATCTTGTTTCACTTTATATCTCATTTCAAACACGTTGAACTGTTTTCTAAAGGTTTGCCGATCAGTCTCTAGGGAGATGGCTCTTGGGGGCGGGGGGTGGGGAGGGAGGGAGGGAGGGGTCTCAAAGCGGCCCCGGGACGCTTCTGGGGGCCGTGCATGTGTCCGGCTCCCGATGGTGGCGGCTTCTCCAGTGCGCGCGTGTGTCACAGAGCCCCGCTGGTCACTCTGAATGTCCGCAGTGTCCTGAAGGTCGGTTATACCCCAACGACGCTGTTAAAACATCCCTCCGATTAAAACTGCCTCGTACTACCCCGCGGGCGTGGGTGACAGCGGAGCCGCGCGTCCAAGTCCAGAGGAAGAACGGCCCTGCCTCGGCCTCCCGGGGCTGACCACGCCGCTCAGCCCGCCGCGTTCACCATCGCGCCTTGCAGGAGATCCCGGACACGGGTGGCCGCGGGGACCCTGCCGCCGCCGCTCCCTGCGCTACCCGGCCGGCCGAGGACAGGAGAGAGATGCCGAGCGCTCGGCCCCGCCCGGGGTGGGACAAGTCCCCGCCGTGACCTGCTCCGGATCGGGGCGCTCGGGACACGGCTGGTTTCCCTCCTGCTCCGGGGCTCAGTCTCTGTCCGAGTGTGCCGCCCCGTGCCAGCCGCGCTGTGCACGCGTGCCCCGGGCTCGGCGCCCTGCCCGGCTCTCTCTCAGGGTCCTCCCTCTCCCGAGCCCCCGCCGCAGCCTCCGAGCCCCGCCGCCGCACACCCACCTGCACCCGGAGGAGCAGCAACGCCAGCGCAGCTCTCCGCGCCATGGCGTCCTACGCTGGTAAGCAACTGGAGCGACGGCCAGCGACGCTCCCACTGGCGGACCTCGGCCCCAGCGAGGCTTTTATACTCCTCGGATGCTCCTCGGGCCGTCCTTGTCACCTCCGAGCGATGCCATTGGGCAGCAGGAAACACCGGAATGCTCCACCCCTATTGCAAACTTTAGCAGGCGTTTTCTCACCAGCCCAGCTGAGCTGCTGCCGAAGCGGCTCCTTGCCGCTGACTCCGCCCCCACCCCTATCTCCCCACCCCCTTCCTCCCACCCCCCCATCCCCCACCCCCCACCCCCACCCCCCACTCCCCCCACCTCCACCTCCCCACCCCACCCCCGCTCCCCGTCCACCAGCCACCAACCTTGTTGCCCCTGTCCTCTTCCAGATTCGCCCGGCTCCTGCTTCAGCCGTGGTGGTGGCCAGCCTTAACCCCGCGTCTGTCCCTCCTCCCCCCTCATCCCACAGCATCTTGTTGGGATTGGGGCAGGGGGGGGGGCGGGGGGGTAGATGAGAGGGATTCAGGGGGAGAAGACGGCTCTTCCGGGTCCTTTCCTTCAGAGGATGGAGCTCCTTCCTTCGTGTGGGTGAACAGGCTACAGGTCAGGCACAGAAACAGGGGGCCCTACCCCCTTAATCTCCTAAACCTCCTCCAACGCCCCCCCCCCCCCGCGGGGTCCCACACTCCAGGAGGGACAGGCAGCTGCTTGAGTCTCCCAGCCCTGCCCGGGGCCCAGGTTGCTCCCACACAAGTTGTTTCTCCTAGAAGTTGTCTGTGGTTTAGCCCAGGAGGTGACGTGTGCAGTTTGACTGCTGACTGTCCCCCTGCCCCTGAGATCACTCCCCATAGACTTCCTCTTTGGGCTCTGGGTCCCCTAGGGCAGGGCTGGAGGACAGGCCAACCCCCTCCCATGCAGACCCCTCCTGAGCCTCACTCTTCCAGTCCAGTCTGGCACTCTGCCACACCCTCTTCCCGCCCAGATGCCCCGGAGTCACCCCGGGACTGGGAAGGGGAGTACTGAGTGGGGGTGGGGGCACAGCTCTGGACACCCACATCTTGCTAAAATATCACCCTCAGCGTCTAGACACCCAACCATTGGCTGGATGGACCCAGAAATGATGTCCAGGTGGTGACTGTTTCAAGGTGTTGCATGGTGCCCTTGCAACTACCTATCTGGGCATTGGCCCAACTGTCCCCTTGGCACCCTGGCTTTCTTTTCCTTGTTGATTTAGAGTAGTTTTTGGCATACCAAAGACAAATAGAATTCTACAGGGGATTCCCAGGCTTCGGGGGCAGGGGGAGGGGGTGGAGCTGGTGAGTCAGGGTGTACCCAGGTGGACCAGTCTGGCTCAGAAAGGGCCCAGGGTGCAGGGTGCAAGACGCAGTGGTCTGGGGCTTCCTGTCCAGAGCAGCCTGCCCTGCTGTCAAGATACAGAAAACTACCCCCGGAGGGCGCCCACTCTCCAGCAGGGGGTGGCCTCCACATGGGGGTCCAAAGCCAGTCTTGGGGCTCTGCCCTCTGGGGGGCAGTCCAGTCCTGGGAGTCCGGTCTGCCTGAGGCAGTCACGATGGCTAGGATGGCAGTACCACCTGCCCCTCCTTCACCCTAGCCCCAGCTTCATCCTGCCCTGGGCCTTGGGGGGCCAAGGTGGAGAGGCCCAGGCCCCCTCTCATGGATACCGCTTGCCTATCTCTTGCCCTCTTTTATCAAACTTCACACACTGTTAGGGGTGGGCCACAGTGCTCCTTTGCCGGGGTGTGTGGGGTCTGTGGTCTGCTGCCCCTGCTCCCTCCTCCAGAGGCATCCTGGGCTGTCCCAGCAAAGGCAGGCCCACTCACTCTGGCCCTAAGGCTGTGAGCGCTGAGACCAGTGGCCACAGTGGAATGGAAGCAGAGGCCACGCTGGGGCAACAGGGCAGGGAGGGAGACCTCAGTGGGGCCAAGAGGTCAGGCAAAATGGGCCTCGGGGCCACCCAGTCCCGCCGGCTCCCTGGAGTGCCCTGGTGGGCAGTGCCGCCCCTGTGTCCTCCGCTGGCTCATTGAACAGCGGACGGGAGCCCCCGCCTCTCGGCACTCGCTCCACAGGGTGGGCCTGCTTCCCAACGCTCCCTGCAAACGGCACCCCCATCCTCCCCAGACCCCTCCTCTCCAGCCTCATGGCCTCAGGCACCTCCCCGCCCCAGACGGCCCCCTGCTGGCTGGCGCTGAGTCTCTCCTAGGAGGACACCTCACGTTTCCGAAGTCCCCAAGAAGACAGCGCACAACGTGTGTGTCCGTTTATTTCAAGGTATGGAGCATAGACACGTCCCCAACTTGGGGTGGGGAGGACAAGAACATGGATACAAAAACTGGAAATGAGACATTCAGCTCAGACGGGACCAGCACAACATGGTTTAAGGCTCCGTGTGTATCTGTATGTGCAGATGCTTACACACACGTACACCCATGCACACACACACACACGGTGGGGCGGCATTTGACACGGGAACCGAGGCTAGATGCCAGACGCTGCTTGCAGCCTGCCTCAAATATTGCAATTGCGTTTATTAAAAAAGTGTAGAATGGGAAGACCGTGTATCAGTCTGAGCCACGTGTCCAACCCAGGCCTCCCTGACCTGGGGGGACACCACGGCTCCCCGAGCCGCCCTCTGTGCACCAGTGCTGGACCTCGCACACCGGTGCTGAGGTGTGCCCACCCCATCTTGGGATGTCCGGGCTGTGGGAGGTGGGGCAGGTCACAGGCCGGGCTCCTGTCCAAACAGCGCAACGGCAGAATGAAACCCCAAAATGCCCTCTCAGAGCAGCGCCAGCCTGCCCCCGGAGCCCACCTGAGGCCTCTCCAGGGCGATGTGGGCAGGGTCTGAGGAAGGAGAGGCCTGTGCATCAGGACCAAGGAGGTCCTGGGGAACCCTGGGGACTCCCGGCCTGCTCCTCAAACCCTCACTCACCCCTGCTGGGGGGTGATTCTCCAACAATGGGCGGCCCTCTTCCCTTGCCTCTGTCAGTCTTGTTTGGCAAGTGGAAGGTGGACCAGGAATGACAGGCGAGATGACCAGGGAGAGGGGCGCACGACGAAAGCGGCATTTGGCTTTAGCATTAAGGCCGGCGCTGGGCGGAGGGCCCTGCATGAGAGGTTAGTGCCTCCCCAAGAGGAGCCCGTGCAGCCCCCCGGGGTCCCTCCTGCCGCCGTGGGCCCCTCTGTCCACAGCGGGTGTGCTGGCCGGGTTTCTCTGCTTCCCCGGGGCCGGCGTAAAGTGCTAGGTGCTAGGGAGGGAGGGCCGGGGCTGGCCGGAGTTCTGCAGACGATGCCCACGCTGCCTCCAACGGGTTCTTATTTGAGGATGTAGTTAATGAGCAGCTGACACGCCAGGAACACGCAGAGCAGGAACCAGGAGCGGGCGCTCTGCAGGAGGCCTGGGGCCGGCGCCTGCCTGGCCTGGGCCGTGGAGCTCAGCATGGCCGAGAGGTGCCTGCAACGACAGGGCACAGTGCCTAAGCCAGGCCAGCCTGGCGCAGCCACCCACAGCCGAGAGAGGGTGACCTCTGGGTGCCAGACCAGACAGGATGGCACATCCCCACCCTCCAGGGACATGGGTGCCAGTGAGGCGGGGCCCCAGAGCACAGTGGCTGCACTGCATTTCCCAGGCACACATTCCAGGGATGGGGGGCGGGGGCGGCGGTCAGGGCTGGGGGAGCTGTGCCTCTTGCATCCCCCCTCCCACCCCTGGTGCGATGGGCTTGAGCTGTGTCTCCCCAGCCCCAAAGTTACATGTTGGAGTCCTGGCCCCCAGCACCTCAGATGTGACCAATTTGGACACGGGGCCTTTCAAGAGGTGATTAAGGTAAAAAAGGGGTCATTGGGGTGGGCCCTAATCCAGTGTGCTGGGGTCCTTCTAAGAAGAGGAGATCAGGACACAGGGAGGAGACGGCATCTACACACCAAGGAGAAAGGCCTCCGGGGGAACCAGCCCTGCCCACACCTGGACCTTGGACATGCAGCCTCCAGGACCGGGGGATAGTCAATGTCTGTGACTTAAGCCGCCCGGTCTGGGGGGCTTTGTTATGGCGGCCCAGGACACACTCGTGTCCTGCCCTGGACTCGGACATCACCGTGTGTCTGTGCTGCTGCAGAAGCTTCTGGCTGTCCCCCTGGCCACCTGCCCTGCAGCCAGCCTTCTTCTGTGGGGCCAGGTAGCTGCTCCGACCCGCCCCGGCTCCCGTGGCCTCCGGGCTCGCTCCAACATCTTGGCTCGCCCCTTCTCCCAGCAGCGGCCCTCCTGTGGCACCCACCACTCAGTACTGACCTCTGCTTTTCCCTCTTCTCCTCCTCCCCGCCCACCTACGGCCCCCTCCAGGAAGCCCTCCCTGACCATGCAGGCAGCATTTTCTCATTCTTCCAAGGTGCCAGCCTCCCTTCCCCTTGGCCCCACAAAGCCTCACAAAGGAGGAGATTATTAAAAGGGTGGGAAACACTTCTGTGCCAAGTGTCAGTCAGTCACAGGGGAGGCTGGGGTCAAAGAGAGGCCGTCCTCATCACGGGCCTGCTTATCCTGGGCTTCCTGACTGGCCTGGATGCTAACAGCCACCAAATGTCACTGGGTGCTGGGCACAGAGCTCAGCCCTCTGCACCATCTTCATCCCGCCCCAGGGACACTGCTATTGCCCCATTTCACAGAGGGGAGACCGAGGCATGAACAGCCCGAGCTCCCATGGCCAGTGAGTCCTGCAGCCTTGACTGGAGCCAGGAATGTGGCTTTGGAGCGGAGCTGGAAAGGATGGCTCTGCTCCGCCTCGGGGCTGTCTGCTGACGGACGTGGTGGCCCTGGTGGCCCGCACCCACTAGAGGTCTCAGAGCGTGGGTCTCAGGGCTTCTCTGCTGGCTCGTGCTCGCTCACCCAGGATCTACCCTGCACCGTGCTGTGGTCACAGCAGGGAGCCGGGAGCCGCCCAGCAGAAGGTGCTGCTCACAACACCTCCTCCCAGCTTCCGCGTGGCTGCTGGCTGCCATTGCCGCTGCCACCACCACCACCACCACCATCACTACCACCATCCCCATCACCACCACCACCACCACCACCCCCACCACCACCATCCCCACCACCATCACTACCACCACCACCACCACCACCACTGGGCACTGCATTGAGCTACTGCGCTGAGTTGCCTGGGGCTCCTCCCAGCCCAGGCCCTGGCTGGCATCCTCCTCTGCACTCCTCCCTCCCCAGCGTGGTGTCTACCGAGAATCATCAACTCAGCTTGCTCAAACAGAACTCCCTGCCGCCCGCCGCCCGCACAAAGGGCAGGACCCCAGGTCTCCTCCTGTCCTCACCCCAAAGCCAGACCCCTTGCACGTCCCCAGGCTTCTAGCTTCGAGTGACGTTCCAGATGCATGGCCTCCCTGGCCCCCTGCCCTGGTCCACTGGCTCTCCTGTGGAGAGCTCTCTGACCCGTGGTGCTGGTTGGACCCGGAGTGTGGCTCACCTGTGGAGCTCCTGCTGGGCCTCCCGGATGGACACGATGGCCTCGTGCAGTGCCTGCAGCCGCCATGCCTCCTTCCCACACCTCGGGCACGGGCTCTCGCAGCCTGGGCCAGCCAGCCCGCCAGTTGCAGGATGCCGGGACAAGGGGATACGGGATGGGGAGGGAGGGAGGGGAGAAGCCAGAATGAGCGAGGATGTCTGGGTAGCCAATATGAGGGGTCCCGGGGTCATGCCCAGCTCAGGCCACACCCCACCTTGCAGGAGCCTTCAGGACGAAGCTAAGGACACAGGCAAATGAGGGAGGCTGAGGGGGGTTTCGGGAGGGAGCCCTGGGCTCAGCTGGCCTCTAATAAGCTGTGGGTGACAGAAATGGCCAAGGTGTGGCTCGTCCTCTGCACAGGCGGGGACACAGTCGAAGAGACACAAACTTGCCCTGTGAGGGCAGCGGGCAGAGAGGCAGGAGCAGAACCAGAGGGTCACAGACAGACGGACACTGCCCAGCCCTGTCTCTCACACTGCCCCTGGCAGCCAGGGGAGGTGTCCTGGCCCTCTGAGTGCAGAGTTGGGAAACCCCTGCCCCTCCCACGCCCCTCATGGGCCCCTGGGATCAGGGAGGCCCGCAGGAGGACCCCTCAGAGGACTGGCTGGCTGCCTCTCCGGTCCTTCCCACCCCTCAGGGGGGCCGGTCGAGGAAGGCTCACCCGGAACGAAGCCACCGTCCTCCTCCTCGTCTGAGAGCTCTGGGCAGGACTCGGGCGTGGAGCCGCTGCTCTCTGTGACCTGGCTGTGGCCGGAGGGCTGGTCACTGGCCTTGCGGAGCCGCCGGTCTGGGCCAGGCCCCTGGAGAGAGACAGAGCCGCTGCGGCCGGGAGCCCACCCACACCCACCGCACCATCGCTGGCCCGGAGGCCCGGCTGCGCCTGCTGGGAGCTGCTGGGTACTGCTAGCCTCAGGGACACGGTGGCACACTTGTGCCAGGTCAGCTCTAGAGAAGGAAGCTGATGGGCTCTGGGTGCACAGGAGGTCTGACCCCCAGCCCTGGCACGGACTGGAGTAGTCACACCCAGTTTCCTCATGGTAATGCAGGCTGTGACCCCCTTTGCAGCTGGGCTGGGGCCAGCAAGCCCGTGCAGACAGGCCTCCCCGTGCCTGTCGCAGGGTCGTGCCCAATACAAGCAGAGATGATGGCCATGGGGCCATAGGCCGTTCTGACCCGTGAGCCGTGAGGGGTGATCACAGCCCACCGTGTGAGCTGACAGTTGGGGTTCCCCCAACACTGAAGGGAAGTCTCTGGGGGCACCCCAGGCTCAGCTGGCCTCTAACAAGCCCCCAGGGTACACGAGTGGCCAAGATGCAGCTTAAGTTCACAAGGACCACAGGCATGGACTGATGCTCAGGGGACATTAGGGGCAAGAGCAGAACTGGGCTGCGGGCGCCGCCACCAGCAGCAGGTCTATGCTCTGACAGAGGGGCCCGGCTGGTGCCTGGACACCCTGCATCAGGCCCGCGTGGCCCTGAAGAGTATCAGCGATGGGGAGGTGGGGTCAGAGCTGGGACTGGTGGGGTCAGCGATAGAAGGGTAGGGGGTCAGAGATGAGACAGGTGGGAACAGACACATGACAGGTGGGGTCAGCAGTAGGAATGTGGGTGTCAGAGCCGGGACAGGTGGACTTGGCACAGGGTGATCCGTGGTGACCACCCCAGGGCAGGTTTGGAGGTGGGGCTGGGCCGACTGGAGAGGCTGGGGAGGGTGAGGAGGAGGCAGAGGGGCATCAGGGTGGACGGAGGGGTGGGGCCATCTGGCCTGAGTCTGGGCTGAGGGCTGCAGCAGGTGAGGGAGGCGAGAGGGTGGGACACACGTGGGCGGTGAGATACTGTGGCCCCTGCTTGCTGGGAGGCTGGGGCCATCGGGCAAGAATGGCCCTTCCGAGTCTGGCCCAGGCCCCTGAGCTGGGGAGCACGCCCCTCCCCGCCCTGGGTGAGTGTCCGGCTGGGTGCACACCAGGCACCCAGTTGGTGCAGCAGGTGCTGTTGAGCACGTGGCAGCTGCAGCACGTGGGCGGGGCATCACCTGGTGGTCTGCCACCCTCCCTATGCCTCCTGGAGCCGCCCTGCCTCCCCTCCCACCCCTCGAGGCATCTGTGCAAGTGCTGGTTCCTCCTGTTTCTACCTGGGCAAGTCCCTGGGCTTCTCTGAGCTTTGGTTTCCTCGGCTGTAGAATTGGATAATGTGCTACTGACACCATAGACGGCAGCTTTGGAGAGCTATGGGCCAGGAGCCAGGGGACCGCAGCACAGTGCCCTGCACCTTTGGGTGCCTGGGAGCTGAGTGTCCTGCAAATCCAGGCATCTCAGGTCCCCTGCTGGGCAGGGCAGGGCATGGGATGAGGGGGCAGAGGAGGCCCTGCTGGGGGCGTTGGAGGGCAACTGGGCTGATGACCGACAGGAGGAGGGCCAGGTGGGTGGAAGCGAGGGTGGAGGTGGCGGCAACACCTGCAGCCTGACTATCCCTCCTACTGCTGAGGACCACCCTGGGCCAGGACCTGGGGGAGTGCTGACCTGGTGTCTGGGCTCCGGGCTACCCAGGAAGGTGGTCTGGCCGGCCATGGTCTCCCGCTGCAGGGTGTGCAGGACCCCATCTTGCTCAAACTGGGCGATGTCCTTCAGGGGGTCCCAGGGGCTGAGGCTGGAGAGTCCAGAGGGCATCCATTGGCAGGGGTAGGGGCCCTCGGGTTGAGGGGTCCCACCCTGGCCCAGCCCGCAGCCTCCCAGCGTGGCCAGAGACCCCAGGAGAATGGCTGTTGCCTGTACCCCTTGTGCAGGGTCCGGCTGGGGGAGCCTCTCTCTGACCGTCCCTCCGTACCACTCCCTTCCCTAGGGGAGCAGGAGCCCCCCATGGTGCTTCTCGTGCCCAGGGCGGGGTGCAGCTGGGGGGCAGTCTGCTGGTCAAGCCCACGCACAGCCCCCGGGGCTGCCGACCACCAGACCAGTTACTCACTTCTCATATAGGTAGCGCCACTCCTGAGTGGCGGGGTCCAGGTGGAACAGCTGTGGCTTCCAGGGCATGAGGCTCTGCTGGCGCTCGCGGGTCCGCTGCCGCTGGGCTTCCTCTAGTGAAAACTTCTCCTGCGTGGCCTTGTGCTGGTCACCCTCGCAGATGGCCCTAGTGACATGCTGCCAGAGCCTGTGGGCAGGGCACCCCCTCTGAGCTGGGGGACCTGGGCACTTGCGCCCCTCAGCACTGGAGGGAAGGCTCAGAGCAACCTCGATTTGATTGCCTCCAGTGACAGGGAGCTCACTGCCTCTCGAGGTGATTGTTTGTCCTGGAGTGCAGTTTATTCACCGTGAGAGAGTTCTTTCCTATGCTGAGCCCCCACCTCCCACCAGCAGGGACCTCCCTGTGGAGCAGCTGGTCATCTGCCAGCAGTGACGGGCTCCCAGGGCCAGCTCTTTCCCAGGCCTCATCTCCTCTCCCTCCAGCTGTCCCCGGAGGGACATCATCCACCATGAGGGGTCCATTCTCCCTGACGGGGACATCCTGGGGACGTGCTCACAGCATCATAATCCTGCCGACCTCGAGGGCAGCTGCCCGCCCAGCCACGCCAGGCTGTGGTCAGCAGGGTCCCCGGGTGCTGGGCGGGGCCTCACCTCTCTGACTCCAGCTCTGTCTGCTCCTCCAACAGCACCGTGTGCCGCTTCAGCCTCTGTCTGCGCACCTCCCCGCTTGGGTTCCAGAAGAGCTCGGTGCCTCCTCTCCCCTCCTCCTTGATAAACACTTCTCTGTCCTGCCCCAGACGGCCGGGAGGGGTCAGAGGTGCTGGCGTGATGGCCGTCCCGGTACCCAGGGGCCCGCCCATGCCTGCCCAGAGGGTGGCCTCTTACCCAGTGTCCAGAGAGACGCGCCAGGATCTCCTCCCCCGACATGATCTTCCCCGAGATCTGGTTGATGCTTGCGCTGCCTCCAAAGAAAGGCTGTGGGGACACACCCGGGACGGATGCCAGTGAGGGGCGGGGGCCTCCCCATGGACACCTAAACCCCTCGGTGGGCTGGGGAGTCAGAGGTGGCCCCTTCCTCATGGGGGGCAGGCTCTCGGCCCCTAGTGCACGGGAGCCCGGCTGGGAGGGGACCCAAAACTGGAGGAGGCCACACTTGTCCAACGGCTCAGCCTGAGCTCGAGGATGCAGTGTTCGCGCCAGGCGTGTGTGCCGCACGCGGGAAGGAGCCTCGGCCTGTCCTGGCTCTGCTGTGTGGCCTGCAGGCAGCCTCCTGCCCTCTCTGGGCCTGGCTGTACCACAGAACTGCTCCCCTCATGTGCATCTGCTCGAGAACCATCCCTGGGGCACAGAGAGGGCAGGAGGGGGTCTCCCAGGGCCTTGCTCCTCCCCAGCCTGATGCACGCCCCCCCCAAGGCCCGCCAGGTGGCTGAGGGGGCTGCGGCCAGCGCTACCTTGAGCTTGAATTCCAGCTCAGCCTGGAGGTTGTTCTTCTCACACTCGATGGTCACTCTGCCGCCCAGCTCCATGGTCATGGTACCATACAGGATTCCTGAAACAGCCGGTCGTGGGGGTCAGGGGCTGCCCCTGGTCCTGCCGAGCCCCCAGGCCCCTGCTGAGGTCTGACCCAGTTGTGCTGATGCCTGGAGGCCTGTGTCAGGCCCTGGGAGGGCGAGAAGGGAGTGGGGAGGACAGGAGCTCCCGGGGCAGAGCCGGGGGCATGGGGAGGAGCTCGTCAGGGGAGCAGAGCCCGGGGGTCATGCCTGGCTCCTCAGTGACGGGCTTCCCCAGGGCACAGGGTCTCTGCCACCTGGGGCTTTGCTCCTGTGACATATGCTCTGTCCAGGAGACGTCCCCACCCTTTGCTGGGTCCCCTCCCTCAGGAACCCCTGTTCAAGGTCCCCATGAGACACTCGTCATGGTCTGTCATTTGGCTCTGAAGTTCCTGCCCCTGCGTGGGCTCCTCCGGGCAGACGTCCTCCCTGCTCACTGCTGTGTCCAGGACGGCCCCGCGTGGGGCGGCCCAGTGCCCGGGATGGCTGTGGGCCCAGGATGTTTTCTTAAATTAATACATAGTTTTCTCAATGAATGCAAGAAAGAATCAATCTTCCATTTCTGATCATAGGGAGGACTTAATCTAATGAAAAAAAGAAAAAAAGAACCATTTCCATTCTGAAACACTTAACCATAGGGCATAAAACAGCCTTCAAAAATGAAAAAGAAAAGACAAGCTAATTGAAATAGCAAAAGGCCGGAAACCGCCCCAGAGCTGTCTGTGCTCATAACGGGCAAGCCCTGCAGAGGCTGGAGGGGGCCCTGCCCCCGGGCTCCCCGGGACACACCCCCTGAGGGAGAAAAGCCCAGCTGGGGCTGGGGGGGCCCCGAGAAACCCAAGAGTCTTCATACATTGCTTAGTAGGTTTGGCTTTGGAGCCAAGTAAATTTATATAATTATATATAACTTATATAATTACATAAATTTATGTAATTCTTTATATAATTATATATAACATATAATTATATAAACTTATGCAATTATTTATATAATTATAAATTATATAATTTGAAAAACATATAATGTATATGTATAATATATATTTATATAATTTATATAAGTATAAAAAAATTTAAAAAGCAATTGCTAGAAATCAAAAGTAAAATGAACCAAGAGATCTGAAGTGGGTGTCATAACCATGGGGTGGCTTGACCTGGGAAGGGACCACTCCCGATGACCTCACGAGTCCCCGGTGGACGTGAACCATCACAGACGTCCAACCACACGACCCCACGCTGACTCCGGTCACCGCCTGTGGGGGGGCGGGCCGGTCAGCGTTATTCTGACATCTCTGTCATTTGATGTGGGGCAGACAGAAAGGAATCCTGGTGGTGTCCTAGAAAAGGGGGCTTTTTGGCATGGGAGGAAGACGTTTCAGATGTCAGGTGTGACAAAAACCTGCCGTCCTGAATCTGGATCGGAAATGTAAGTATGAACTCATGATCCATTTTAATCTTAAAAAAAAAAAAGAAAAAGATTTCTGTGTTCAGCTCACTGGAAAGCCCTAGAAACAACCCCCAAACCGCTTGTAGGACTCAGACGTGGCCTGCAGACTTGGTGTCTAAGTACCGTTTCCTCCTGGAAGGACCTGGGCTCCCTGGAGAAAGGGACAGTTTGAGGTCTGGAGCAGGACATTAAGGTTTCATGGGGTCACAGCAGAATGAGGCAGACCATAGGCCTGGGTGGAGAGGACCCAGGAGCCAGTCTGACGGCTCCCACTGGCCAACGGCGGCACCACGAGTGTCCCTAGTGATACCAACGGGGGGTTCTGAAACGATCCTGTGTATTCTGATCAAACAACATTCAAAGCAACAATGACCTCACCAATGATCACTTCAGAGGATACGGGGGGAAAACTCATTTTGAAAAGAGAAAAAACCTGGCACTTATCCCATATGTCCTGAACCTACTGGAAAACCACATAGCCCACCAGGGATGTTTCCCTTTACAGAAGACTTCCTGCCGGTCAGATGAAGAAAGAGCAACGGGACAGCAGCATCTGCAATGCCCAGCACGTCCACGGATCTGGGCCCTGCCAATTGACATCCGCTAACACCGCAAACACAGAGACGACCCAACATTTTGCACCTCACGACGGAAAGACAGGACGCCGCCCACTGAGCATCTTGTTGGGAAAACTGCCTGAAGTGATCTGGCCTCTAGAGATGCGGTCAACTTCCAGTTGACAGAAAAGACCCAGGACAGGGGACATGCTCAGTGACAGCACGGAACACAGCCAGTCAGTCCAGACCAGAAGGAACACTACCAGGACACGACCTCGTTTCTTCGACAGCCACATTGTAAGAAAAAAAATGGGGGAGAGGACACAGAAGAGACTGAAGAGATCCAGCAGCGGGGACGAAGTGTGAACCTTACTTGAATCCTGTCAGACAAATGCGTTGTAACACGTATGTGTGTAGGTACATATATAAATATGCACGTCTATGTGACAACCAGGGACCTTTGAACACTGACTGTGCATCTGATGGTATCAAGGACCGAGACTTCACTTTTTTTTTTTGGTGTAATGACAGTATCGTCGTTACTGTTAAGAAAGGGAATCCTGGCGGAGCAAAATGGCAGGGTGAGCTGACCCGGGACTCTCTCCCCTCCAAAGTACAAGAAAGGACTGAGAAAAACCCCTGAATTTCAGCTAATGAACCTAATGCCAGGACTCAGAGACCTACGGTATCAAAAGACAGAGGACGGAGCCCCCGCTGCCCGCCTCAGAGGAGCTGGAACGGGGTAGGAGAGAACTTGGCTCCCTCCCCTAGAGACCAGGATCTCCCGCGGGTCCGGGAAGGAGCAGGGGAGGGGCCGCGCGACCAGGGGATCATCCAGGACTCCCGCCACCAGTACAGTGGAAACCTGCTGATGGAGGAAAGCTTCTGTGCACGGGGACCCCATAAAGCCAGGGCCTGGGGAGACCAGAGAACAGAACTGATCCGAATCCGGATCGGCACTGAGAGAAACCGCCCCTGCCCCCGCCCCGGCAAAGTGCACTGGGCGCCGCCATCTTGCCGGAAGGTGGAGAGGTCAGAACACGCGGCTCTCGACCCCCATCTAGTGGCGACAGGCTGTAACTGCAACCGAATTCTACCACCATGCGAAAAAACCGCTCCTCTACCATCCAGCAACTTATAAAAGCCCCAGACCAGAAGGAAAACAATAAAAACAGAGAATTAAGTCCTGAGGACTTGGAATTAGGTAAACTAAATGAAAATGAGTTCAGAGGAGCTATAATAAAAAAACTCGATGAGGTAGAGAGAAAGATAGAGAAACAAGCCAAGTTCTGGAGTTACTTCACAAAAGAGATTGAAAAACACAATGGACCAGATGAAACAGAATACGGATTCCCTGAATGCCCGAGTAGACTCCATAGAAGAGAAGATTAGCATAATCGAAGATAGACAGGCTGAATGGCTCCAGACAGAGGAAGAAAGAGAACTAAGGATCAAATGGAATGAGGAAAGTATTAGAGAGATAGCAGAGTCAACGAGGAGAAAGAATTTAAGGATCATAGGAATTCCCGAGAATGTGGAAAAGGAAAATGGAGCAGAAAGTGTGCTTAATGAAATTATAGAAGAGAACTTCCCAAATCTAGGGATTGAGGGAGAAATGTGCGTAGAGGAAGCTTTCAGATCTCCTAGATTTGTCAATGTAAAAAGACCTACTGCAAGGCATATAGTAGTACAAATGGCAAAAATGAATGACAAAGAAAGAATACTCAGGGCTGCAAGACAAAAGAGAATAACCTACAAGGGCCTCCTATCAGACTTTCAGCGGATTTCTTTGCAGAAACCTTACAAGCTAGGAGAGAATGGAGTGACATATTCAAAGCTTTAGAAGATAAAAATCTTCAGCCAAGAATACTCTATCCAGCAAGAATATCCTTCAGATATGAGGGAGAAATTAAATCTTTTCCAGACAAACAAAAGTTAAGGGAATTTGTAACCAAAAGTCCTCCACTACAAGAAATCCTCAAGAAGGCTCTCATACCTGAAAAAAGAAAGAAGGGAGAAAGGGGTCACAAACCACAGACTAGGGAGACCGATGGATAGAACCAGAACAGGATAGCAAATATTCAACTATAGCATTAGGATAAAGGTAAGGAAACTACCAAAGCAAGGACGATCTTATCACTCTAACTACAAACTCATAACACAAGTTGGAACAAGAAGTGAAAATAATAATTTAGGAGGGGAAGAGCAAAGGGACTAAATTAGTCTAGGCCAAGTAAGTAAGAGACCACCAGAGAATAGACTATATTATACACGAGATTCGAAATACAAACTTAAGCGTAGATACTAAACTAAAAAACAGAACAGAGACACAAAACATAAATAAGCAAAAATCTAAGAAACCCAGCATAAGAAATTGCAGTATCAAATGGGTAGGATAAAGCACACAGGAAGAGAAAAGCAGGAAAGCCAGATAAAGAGCAACAGATTGACAGCATTAAGTCCACATGCATCAATAATCACTCTCAATGTAAACGGATTGAACTCTCCAATAAAAAGACACAGAGTGGCAAAATGGATTAAAGAACAAGATCCAGCAATTTGTTGCCTCCAGGAAACACACCTCAGCCCCAAGGACAAACACAGGCTCAGGGTGAAGGGGTGGAGGACAATACTTCAAGCTAATAGCAAGGAAAAAAAAGCAGGTGTTGCAATTCTTATATCAGACAAAGTGGATTTCAAAATAAGACAGGTAAAGAGAGACACACAGGGACAATATATAATGATCAAAGGGACACTTCATCAAGAAGAAATAATGCTTATAAATATCTATGCACCCAACACAGGAGCACCAAGATTCATAAAGCAACTATTAACAGACCTAAAGGAAGAAGTTAAAAACAACACAATAATAGTAGGGGACCTCAACACCCCACTCACATCAATGGACAGATCATCCAGGCAGAAAATCAACAAGGAAATAGTGGAGCTAAACGAAAAACTAAAACAATTGGACTTAATAGACATATATAGATCA